CACCTGGATCCTGCTACAACAGAGCCCTAGAATCATGGAATCAACCGGATTGGAAGGGAGCTTCAAGACCAAGTCCAATCATCACCCCAACACGGCCACCACTGCCCCATGGCACTGAGGCCTCGTCTCCATGGGGTGTGAACCCTTGCAGGGCCGGTGCCTGCAGCCCTGCCCTGGGCAGCCTGTTCCAATGCCTGAGCACCCTCTGGGGCAGGAATTGTTCCTCAGCTCCATCTAAACCTGCCCTGGGGCAGCTTGAGGCCGGTTCCTCTTGTCCCATCCCTTGTTCCTTGGGAGCAGAGCCCAGCCCCTCCTGGCTCCATCCTCCTCTCAGGCACTTGTAGGCAGCCATCAGGTCCCCCCTGAGCCTTCTCTTCCCCACACTGAACCCCCCAGCTCCCTCAGCCCTTCCCCATCACACCCGATCCTCACGTCCAGCCCCCCCAGGCCCTGTTCCATGGGCAGTTTCCAGCCGCAATTCCGCAGCTCTGGAATGCTGCAGGGCTCAGAACGGCCCTCACGTGCCGGAGCAGCCCCGGGCAGGGAGCTGAGGAAGCTCTTTGTAAATGACTCTGCAGTTAATCACCGTGTGCGCGGCATCACACGCGCTCGCCCCCGCTCTGCTATACATAGAGCGAGCGGAGGGAGGCTCCAGCCAGCCCGCTCCCGAGGGGCGGCAGCTTCATCCCATGGGACGAGCGTGGAGGGGAAGGGAGCCCCACATCTGCCGCTGTGGGAGCCGGGATGCTGCAGGAGCTGTTGGCGTCGACGCTGGGCTCAGCCCCACGGATGCAGCTCATCGCTCGGAGCATCTTCTCCGTGCTCAGAGGCCCTGCGGGTACCAGGCGTGTGCTCAGGCACTAACACGTGTGTAAACACCCTGTGCGCGGGGAGGGGACGTGCAAACGGAGGGGCACAAGCGTGTGCAGGCACGGACATGGAGCAGGCGTGCAGATGGAGCACATGGAACACGGGGCACAGGGCGGGCACTGAGGGCAGGTGTGAAAACAGGCACGGAGCACATGCTGCAGCACTGAGGACCTCGGCACACACTGCATGCACTGAGCGTGCATTGAAGGCGCTGAGCACGTTAGCACACGTTGCATGCACTGAGCGTGCATTGAAGGCACTGAGCATGTTAGCACACGTTGTATGCACTGAGCGTGCATCAAAGGCACTGAACACGTTAGCAGACGTTGCATGCACTGAGCGTGCATTGAAGGCGCTGAGCACGTTAGCACACGTTGCATGCACTGAGCGTGCATTGAAGGCGCTGAGCACGTTAGCACACGTTTGTATGCACTGAGCGTGCATTGAAGGCGCTGAGCACGTTAGCACACGTTGTATGCACTGAGCATGCATTGAAGGCACTGAGCACGTTAGCACACACTGCATGCACTGAGCGTGCATTGAAGGCGCTGAGCACGTTAGCACACGTTGCATGCACTGAGCGTGCATTGAAGGCACTGAACACGTTAGCACACGTTGCATGCACTGAGCATGCATTGAAGGCGCTGAACACGTTAGCACACATTGTATGCACTGAGCGTGCATTGAAGGCGCTGAACACGTTAGCACACGTTGCATGCACTGAGTGTGCATTGAAGGCGCTGAGCACGTTAGCACACGTTGTATGCACTGAGCGTGCATTGAAGGCGCTGAGCACGTTAGCACACGTTGTATGCACTGAGCATGCATTGAAGGCACTGAGCACGTTAGCACACACTGCATGCACTGAGCGTGCATTGAAGGCGCTGAGCACGTTAGCACACGTTGCATGCACTGAGCGTGCATTGAAGGCACTGAACACGTTAGCACACGTTGCATGCACTGAGCATGCATTGAAGGCGCTGAGCACGTTAGCACACGTTGCATGCACTGAGCGTGCATTGCAGGCACTGAACACGTTAGCACACGTTGCATGCACTGAGCATGCACTGAAGGCACTGAGAATAAAATGCACACATGGAGCTTGTGTTGCATGCTCTGAGCATGTCACAGGCACCGAGCACAGGTTGCATGCACTGAGCATGCATTGAAGGCACTGAACACGTTAGCACACGTTGCATGCACTGAGCATGTGCTGCAGACACTGAGCACATGTTAGCACATGTTGCCTGCACTGAGCACGCATTGCAGAGACCAAACAGGCACTGCACGCACTGAGCAAGCACTGCAGATGCTGAACATGTGTTGCACATTGAGCACACATTGCATACATGGAGCACATCCTGCAGATGCTGACCACATGTTGCATGCACTGAGCACACATTACATGCACAGAGCACGTGTTGCATACCTGGAGCACGTACTGCAGACACTGAACATGTGTTGCATGCACCGAACACGCATTCCAGACCTCATTCCCCACGCACACACGGGTTCCTGCCCTCCATCTGCACCCCTGGCAGAGCAGCCCCAGCGCTGCGGGTGATTGACATCTGTCACCCGTGTGTGTGACTGACACACGTCACCCGTGTGGGACTGACATCTGTCACCCCCCATGAGTCACTGCCCAACCCCCGGGGGGATCAGAGCAACGGGGAGGTGGAGGGACACCCGCACCAAGGGACACTGCAGGGAGCTGCACTCCAGCATCCTCCCATTGCTGCATCCCTGCATTGCTGCATACCCCCCAACGCAGCATCCCTGCATCCCCACATCCCACATCCCTGCATCCCCACATCCCATCATCCCTGCATCCCCACATCCCTGCATACCATATCCCTGCACCCTGCACCTCCACATCCCTGCATCCCTGCACCCCAGCATCCCTGCATCCCCACATCCCACATCCCTGCATCCTCACATCCCATCATCCCTGCATCCCCACATCCCTGCATACCATATCCCTGCACCCTGCACCTCCACATCCCTGCATCCCTGCACCCCAGCATCCCTGCATCCCCACATCCCACATCCCTGCATCCTCACATCCCATCATCCCTGCATCCCCACATCCCTGCATACCATATCCCTGCACCCTGCACCTCCACATCCCTGCATCCCTGCACCCCAGCATCCCTGCATCCCAGCATCCCTGTATTCCTGCCTCCCACATCCCTGCATCCCTGCACCCCAGCATCCCCACATCCCACACCCCTGCATCCTCACATCCCTGCATCCCAGCATCCCTGTATTCCTGCATCCCTGCACCCTGCACCCCCACATCCCTGCACCCCTGCACCCCAGCATCCCCACATCCCACACCCCTGAATCCTCACATCCCAGCATCCCTGCATCCCCGCATCCCTATATTCCTGCATCCCTGTATTCCTGCATCCCACATACCTGCACTCTGCTTCTCCACATCCCTGTGTCCCCATGTCCTATCATCCCTGAATCTCCACGTCCCAGCACCCCTGCATTCCTGCATCCCGCATCCCCACATCCCTGCACCCTCGCATCCCTGCAACCCTGATTCCCAGCATCCCTGCAGCCATGGCTTTAGTGTGCATTTGGCATCACCCATCACCTCCCCAGCACCCAGCGGGTGCACCCAGGCCCATCCCGCTGCACCCACGTGCTCTCAGCTCCAGCCGTCCCCATCCCGGCCGCAGAGACCAGGACACGACGTTTCCCAAAGACCTTTAATGCCATGGAGAGATTAGGACAGCGGCCGGATGCCCCCAGTCTGGGGGTACAGAGGCTCGCGATGCCCTGCCCATGGAGGGGACCCCGGCAATGGGGCACCCCCTCTCTAGGAGTGATGGGAACACCGTGATGGTGGTCCCCGGAGCTGGGAATGCATCCCATGGGAAGGATTGCCATGAATGGAGATTCAGGGATGATTCAAGGATTGCCTTGTCGTTTCCATGGAGGGGGACTTCAAATAAGAGGGAAGAAGAGGAAAAGCAGGACCCTGTGCCAGGGTGTCCGGCTGGGATCCGCTTCCCTCCCTGGAGCTTGGAGCAGAAGCTGAAAGCAGCTGAGATCTGGGGTCTGGTAGGCTGGTACTGCCTGGTCCCTATGGATGCTGGTCCACATAGATACCTGGTCCCATGGCTGCTGGTCCCATGGGTGCTCGTCCCCATGGATGCCTGGTCCCTGTGGATGCCTGCTCCTCAATGGGTGCCTGGTACTCATGGGTGCATGTTCCTCATGGGTGCATGGTCCCCATGGATGCTGGTCCCTGTGGATCCTCTTCCCCATGTGTGCCTGGTCTGCATGGATGCTGGTCCCTGTGGATGCTGGTCCCCATAAGTGCCTGGTCCTCATGGACGCCTGCTCCCCCATGGGTGCTTGATAGTCATGGATGTTGGTCCCCATGGATGCTGGTCCCCATGGACGCTGGTCCCCATGGATGCTCGTCCTCATGGATGCCTGGTCCCCCATGGGTGCCTGATCGTCATGGATGCTGGTCCCCATGGATGCTGATCCCCAGGGTGCTGGCCCCCCAGATGCCTGGCCCCTAGGGATGTCTGGTCCCCATGGCTGCATGGTCCTGATGGATGCTGGTCCCTATGGATGCTGGTCCCCATGAGTGCCTCGTCCCCATGAGTGCCTGGTCCCCATGAGTGCCTGGTCCCCATGGATGCTGGTCCCTATGGATGCTGGTCCCTATGGATGCTGGTCCCCATGGATGCTGGTCCCTATGGATGCTGGTCCCCATGGATGCTGGTCCCCATGGATGCTGGTCCCTATATAGTCTCCATGGGTGCCTGGCCATGGCTCCCCAGACCTGCTCCACTGGTGGGTCAGTGGCCTCGCAGCCAGTTCCCCTCCTGTGTGCCCATGGGTCAGGGTGTGGGGAGGTCAGAGGGTCCGGTGGAGGCTCCCCATGTGATGGGAGCCCAGCCTGCGCCAGGATGTGGGGCTGGAGCAGGTCCCTGAGGGCTGCCCCACGCGTGGACAAACCTGGAGCACAAGAGGAGAGCAAACGTCGGCACCTCCATCCCGGCCCTGCTGGGACCCACATGGGGGCACCGCATGTCCCCTGTCCCCGCGCGGGCTGGCGATGGGGTGGGCAGAGCCATCGTCCCCTGCAGCACTGGGGACACTCACCGTTGTCTCAGGCCTCCAGCTCAGACGTTGTGCAGGAGCTGGGGACAGAGCACACAGGTCAGTGCTCACCCTCCTCCTGCCCCGGCATCGCCAGGGGCTCCCATAGGAGCGCATCAGGGATGCAGGAGAAAGCCCAGAGCAAGAGGACCCGCGCTCCCCGGCACATCAGCCTGTGCCCACCTCCCCGCCCCATGGCAGGGACACCCACAGTGTCCCATGGGAGCCCCGCGGTGCTGGTCCCTTGCCCTGGAGGAGCCCAGAGGATGCTCCATGGCCCCCCTGGGTGCAGAGACCCCCCTGCCAGGGCTGTCCCTGGCACAGCACACGCGCACCTCAAAGCAGAGCCCATGGGGAAGCCCAGGAGGAGCTTCCCCATCATCCCAGGTTATAAACCTGAGCCTGGGGGGGGTCCTAGGCCAGGGCTGCCCCATAGACCCGGTCCATGGCGATGGGTGTGCGGTAGGGGGCGGCTCTGGTGCGGTGATGCCGCTGCTCCCCACCCTTGGGTGATGCACAACCCATGGCAGGATCTCCCCATCACAGCCACGTCCTCAGGTTTATAACAGCAACGAGGGCCCAAGGGGCTGCCTTGGGCACGGTGGGAGCACAGAAGCTCTGTCCCACCACCACCCACAGCACCCATGGGCCCCGTGGCTGAGCAGGGCACCCACAGCACTGGCGTGGTGCGGGGATGCCCAGCACGGACAGACAGACGGGAGGACGAGGGGATGGGGCTGATTTGTGACCAGGACAGCGTTCCAGAGAAACCAACCCTGTTACAGGAAAAATCAGAGCTTGGCAGCATCCCCTTGCCTTGCATCACACGGTTTGGGTCCCTCCTGCACCCTGGACACCACCCCAACGCCATTCAGAGCACCCAAAGCATCATCTCCCTCCCCTCTGGGGTGACCAGAGGCTGATGCTGGTGCATAAGGAAGGGGAACGGGGATGCTCCCCCGGTCCCTGGGTACCAGAACCCCCTCCTCGTGTGATGCAGAGGAGATGCAGCCCCACACAGAGGGGTCCCCCCCCCCGCCCCCAGCAGCCCCTGTCACTCACGGTGAGCGGGTCAGTAGCAAAAGCAGCCACACTGTTCCTCATCTCACTCTCATTGCCCCGCAGCGGGATGAGGGAGATGTTACCCAACCTGGAGTCCTGCTGCCACCGCGACGTCCTCACCTTGGAGCTCTCCGAGGGCCACAGGGCCCCCCCGTGCTGCGGACAGAGGGGACATGGGGTGGGCAATGGCTCTTTGGTCCTCAGGGAGCCCTCAGGGCCCCTTCCGCTGCCCTGGGATGCGGGGATTTAGGGATGCTGGGTGCAGCAAGGGCGGCTCCGTGCTGAGCATCCTCCTGCATACCTGCACGTGGAGGAAGGTGGCGAACCACTCACGGAGATCAGCCTGGGTGTCACAGCACAGGTACCTGTGGGGACACGGAGGGGATGGGGAGCCGTGGGGACACAAAGCGGGGGCTGTGTCCAACCTGGCCTTGAGCACTGCCAGGGATGGGGCAGCCACAGCTTCTCTGGGCACCCTGTGCCAGCGCCTCAGCACCCTCACAGGGAAGAGCTTCTGCCTAAGAGCTCAGCTCAGTCTCCCCTGGGGCAGGTTCAAGCCATTCCCCTTGGCCTGGCCCCGCTGCAGGGGGGTCCCCCCAGGCTGTGTCCGTGCTCAGCGCCAGCACCCGCAGTGTGGATCCCATGGGATGGGCTCTGCACCCCGTGTCCGTCCCCGCTCTCACCATTGCTGCTTCTCGTGCTTCTCGTTCTCATAGAAGACCGTGAAGCCCCAGCTGAAGGGAGAAGGAAACCATGAGCACACACACACACACACACACACACACACATACATGTACATGAGACGTGCACATGCGTGTACACGGCTTGCTGACATGGATGCACCCACCCATATGGACATGAGCAGCATTTACACATCCTGCTGACACGCAGGCACAGCCCACATACATGTGCACACACAATGCCCATGCGTTCATATGTACACACATGCACAGGCACATGCATCCACATGCGTATGCACAAGCATCATATGCACACATATGCACACACCCCCATACATGTACATTAACATATGCACACACCCACATACATGTACATTAACATATGCACACACCCACACACATGTACATTAACATATTCACACACCCCATACATGTACATTAACATATGCACACACCCCCATACATGTACATTAACATATGCACACACCCACACACATGTACATTAACACGTGCACACACCCACACACATGTACATTAACACGTGCACACACCCACACACATGTACATTAACATATTCACACACTCACACACATGTACATTAACATATGCACACACCCACATACATGTACATTAACATATTCACACACTCACACACATGTACATTAACATATGCACACACCCACACACATGTACATTAACACGTGCACACACACACACATGTACATTAACAGGTGCACACACTCACACACATGTACATTAACACATGCACACACTCACACACATGTACATTAACATGTGCACACACCCACATACATGTACATTAACATATGCACACACCCACATACATGTACATTAAATATGCACACACTCACACACATGTACATTAACACGTGCACACACTCACACACATGTACATTAACACGTGCACACACTCACACACATGTACATTAACAGGTGCACACACTCACACACATGTACATTAACACGTGCACACACTCACACACATGTACATTAACACGTGCACACACTCACATACATGTACATTAACATGTGCACACACCCACATACATGTACATTAACACGTGCACACACTCACACACATGTACATTAACACGTGCACACACTCACACACATGTACATTAACACGTGCACACACTCACACACATGTACATTAACACGTGCACACACTCACACACATGTACATTAACACGTGCACACACTCACACACATGTACATTAACACGTGCACACACTCACACACATGTACATTAACACGTGCACACACCCACATACATGTACATTAACATATGCACACACCCACATACATGTACATTAACATATGCACACACCCACATACATGTACATTAACATATGCACACACCCACACACATGTACATTAACACGTGCACACACTCACATACATGTACATTAACACGTGCACACACTCACACACATGTACATTAACACGTGCACACACTCACACACATGTACATTAACACGTGCACACACTCACACACATGTACATTAACACGTGCACACACTCACACACATGTACATTAACATGTGCACACACCCACATACATGTACATTAACATATGCACACACCCACATACATGTACATTAAATATGCACACACTCACACACATGTACATTAACACGTGCACACACCCACATACATGTACATTAACATGTGCACACACTCACACACATGTACATTAACACGTGCACACACCCACATACATGTACATTAACATATGCACACACCCACATACATGTACATTAAATATGCACACACTCACACACATGTACATTAACATATGCACGTGCGAACATTCATGCTCCCAGCGTGCTGACAGGGATGCACACACCCATATGCACACCCAGCACACTCATGCACATACTTGCACGCGCGTACAAGCACACACGTGCATGTGCACACTGACACATGGGGACAGGGAAAGGGATTGGGACGGCGACAGGGATAGGGATTGGGATAAGGACAGGGACAGGGCAGGGACAGGGATGGGGACGGCGACAGGGATGGGGACGGGGCAGGGATGGGGATGGGGCAGGGATGGGGCGGGAACAAGGCAGGGATGGGGCCGGGACCCGGCTGCGCGGCGCTGCCTCTGGCCCGCAGCAGCGTCCCGCGGCTCTGCTCTGCCATCTGGTGGCCGGAGGCGCGCACAGCACCAGGCGCGTCCCCGCGGCACAACCGGCCCTGGCCCCATCCCTGCCCCTGTGCCCAGCCCCGTCCCTGACCCATATCCATCCCCATCCCCACCCCTGTCCCCATCACCGTCCCTGTCCCATATCCATCCCCAGCCCCAGCCCTGTCCCCAGCCCTGTCCCTGTCCCATATCCATCCCCATCCCCACCCCTGTCCCCAGCCCTGTCCCTGTCCCATATCCATCCCCATCCCCACCCCTGTGCCCAGCCCTGTCCCTGTCCCATATCCATCCCCATCCCCACCCCTGTCCCCATCACCGTCCCTGTCCCATATCCATCCCCAGCCCCAGCCCTGTCCCCAGCCCTGTCCCTGTCCCATACCCATACCCATCCCCACCCCTGTCCCCAGCCCTGTCCCTGTCCCATATCCATCCCCATCCCCACCCCTGTCCCCAGCCCTGTCCCTGTCCCATATCCATCCCCATCCCCACCCCTGTCCCCAGCCCTGTCCCTGTCCCATATCCATCCCCATCCCCACCCCTGTCCCCATCACCGTCCCTTTCCCATATCCATCCCCATCCCCATCCCTGTGCCCAGCCCTGTCCCTGTCCCATACCCATCCCCATCCCCACCCCTGTCCCCAGCCCTGTCCCTGTCCCATATCCATCCCCATCCCCACCCCTGTCCCCATCACCGTCCCTGTCCCATATCCATCCCCATCCCCAGCCCTGTCCCCATCACCATCCCTGTCCCATATCCATCCCCATCCCCACCCCTGTCCCCATCACCGTCCCTGTCCCATATCCATCCCCATCCCCACCCGTCCCCAGCCCTGTCCCTGTCCCATATCCATCCCCATCCCCACCCCTGTGCCCAACCCTGTCCCTGTCCCATATCCATCCCCATCCCCACCCCTGTCCCCATCACGGTCCCAGTCCCATATCCATCCCCATCCCCACCCCTGTCCCCATCACGGTCCCTGTCCCATATCCATCCCCATCCCCACCCCTGTCCCCATCACGGTCCCAGTCCCATATCCATCCCCATCCCCATCCCCACCCCTGTCCCCATCACGGTCCCTGTCCTACCCCAATCTCCATCCCGTTCTTATCTCCATCCCTGTCTCCATCCCTGTTTCAATCCCCACCGGCAGCCCAAGCCGTGCTCCTGACCTGTTCCCATCCCATCTTTACCTCCATCCCCATCTCCATTCACGTCTCAATCCCCATCCCAGTCCCAGTCCCTGTCCCATCCCCATCCCAGTCCCCACTCCGCAGGACACCCCGCCGCTGCTGCTCACCACGTTGGAGGCCGAAGCTTCTTCTTGATGCCCAGGTACACCCGCAGGTTCCTCACGGGCCATTCCTTCTCTGGCTTGTGGCTCTGCGGGAAGAGGCACCAGCACCACGCTGGGGACTGCCCGGCCCTGGTCCATGGCCCCACAGGGACACGGGATGGGCTCGGTGGCCTTGGCAGGAGGAGGAGCCACAGGGATGCGGGGACGAGTCTGGGCTTGCAGAGGATGAGGCTGGCACCAGGATGGAGCAGAGAGGGCAGAGATGGTGCCAGCACCGTGGGGACAGGGATGGGGATGGGAAGGAAGGGAAGGGAAGGGAAGGGAAGGGAAGGGAAGGGAAGGGAAGGGAAGGGAAGGGAAGGGAAGGGAAGGGAAGGGAAGGGAAGGGAAGGGAAGGGAAGGGAAGGGAAGGGAAGGGAAGGGAAGGGAAGGGAAGGGAAGGGAAGGGAAGGGAAGGGAGGGCTCACCCTCACGTCCCTGTAGAGGTGCAGGCAGCGGTGGCTCAGGATGAAGTAGCGGTCGTGGAAGCCGGTGCTGAGCCCCAGCCCCAGCAGGTTCCTCTCCTCCCGGAACTTCATCATCCCGTGCTTGCAGTCGCCCCCTCTGCTGGCTGCAGGCACCCACTGAGCAATTCCAGCCCCCCCCGGGGCATGGGGTGCAGCCAGACCCGGCCCCAAGGGTGAGAGCAGGGGAGCCCCAGCACTGCTCCTGCCTGGCCCCCCGCCCCATCCCATCCGATCCCATTACTTCCCATCACTTATGCCATCCCAACCCATCTCACCCCCATCCCATCTCCTGCCTTGGCATCCCATCTCCACCACCCTCCCATCCCCATTCCCATCCCATCCCCATCCCCATCCCATCACCTTCCCATTACCTTCCTATCACCTACCCCATCCCCTCCCCATCCTATCCCCTTCCCATTACTTACCCCATCCCACCTCCCCTCGCATCCCCCTCTCCATCCCCATCCCATCCTCATTACCATCTCATCCCCATCACCATCCCATCTCATCCCATCCTTTTTCCCATGCACATCCCCATCCCCATCCCATCACCTTCCCATTACTTTCCTATCACCTACCCCATCCCAGCCCCTTCCCATCGCTTACCCCATCCCACCTCCCCTTGCATCCCCATCTCCATCCCCATCCCATCCTCATTGCCATCTCATTGCCATCACCATCCCATCTCATCCCATCCTTTTTCCCATCCCCATTCCCATCCCTATCCCCATCCCACCCCTGTCCCCATTCCATCCCAACACATTCCATCTCCACCCCATCCCTATCCCACCTCCACCGCATCCCCATCCCATCACCATTCCATCCCACCCCCATCCCTATCCCACCTCCACCGCATCCCCATCCCATCACCATTCCATCCCATCCCCATCCCTATCCCACCTCCACCGCATCCCTATCCCATCTCCATCCATCCCCATCCCCAATCCCATCCCATCCCCATCCCTATCCCATCTCCATCCATCCCCATCTCCAATCCCATCCCATCCCCATCCCTATCCCATCTCCATCCGTCCCCATCCCCAATCCCATCCCATCCCCATCCCTATCCCATCTCCATCCATCCCCATCCCCAATCCCATCCCATCCCCATCCCTATCCCATCTCCATCCGTCCCCATCCCCAATCCCATCCCATCCCCATCCCTATCCCATCTCCATCCATCCCCATCCCCAATCCCATCCCATCCCCATCCCTATCCCATCTCCATCCATCCCCATCCCCAATCCCATCCCATCCCCATCCCTATCCCATCTCCATCCATCCCCATCCCCAATCCCATCCCATCCCCATCCCTATCCCATCTCCATTCGTCCCCATCCCCAATCCCATCCCATCCCCATCCCTATCCCATCTCCATCCGTCCCCATCCCCAATCCCATCCCATCCCCATCCCTATCCCATCTCCATCCGTCCCCATCCCCAATCCCATCCCATCCCCATCCCTATCCCATCTCCATCCATCCCCATCCCCAATCCCATCCCATCCCCATCCCTATCCCATCTCCATTCGTTCCCATCCCCAATCCCATCCCATCCCCATCCCCAATCCCATCCCCTGCCCCTGGTGCCACCCCCACTGCCCGACCTGCTCTGACCACCAGCCCTGTTGTGCCAGCTCCAGCCACCAGCCTGTCCCCACCCTTCCTCACCACCATCCTTGCCATTGTCAACCCCAACACCACCTCTCCCAGCTCCATCCCACCAAGTAGTGCAGGGGCCGCTCTGCCAGGCAGGGACAGGCAGGGACGGGCAGGGGTCAGGCACCATCCCCAGGAGGCCACACGTGGGTCCCAAGCTCCTGCCTGCCCTCACTGGGTTCATTTCATGCTGCTGCCTGATTGTGCCCTGGGGAGGTGACTTCTGGTCCATGGTGGGACCACACTTCCCATAGGGACGTGCATGAGCACGGTGGGACGGGCACCACAGGGTGTGCAGAGGGAGCCTGGGCTTGGCAAGGACCACAGCATCCCATGTTGGCTTTCGGTGGTGGGCTCAGCATCCTGCCTGGATGAGCCACCAGGACCTGGGCCTCATCCTGCTCATGCCGAGCTCTTGCTGCTGCCCATGGGCACCCTGGGGTGAGGAACCCAGCACCCCCTCCGAGCTTCACTGGTGTTTAACCCCTAAAGGTGTCCTGTGAGCCCTGGTCCCAGCCACCCTCCCATCTGCATCATGGATGCGGTGAGCAAACTGCAGCCGCCCTCCCCGGAGGGCATGGACCTGTCCCAGCACTGCCTCATGGTGCTGCTCCCAGGGGAAACCTTTCATCCCCATCCCCATCTCCATCCCCATCCATGTCTTCAAGCCCATCTCCATCCCAATCCCCATCCATGTCTTCAAGCCCATCTCCATCCCAATCCCCATCCATGTCTTAAAGCCCATCTCCATCCCAATTTCCATCTCCATTTCCATCTCCATTCCTATCTTCAACCTCATCTTCATCTCCATGTCCATCCCCACCTCCATCTCATCTCCATCACTATCTTCAACCCCATTTCCATCTCCATCTCACCTCTATCCCCAAATCCATTTCCATGTCCATCCCCATCCCTATCTCCAACCTCATCTGCAACTTATCCCTATCTCCATTTCCATTTACATCCCCATCCCTATCTTAACCCCACCTTCATCCCCATCCCCACCTCCATCCCATCTCCATCCACATAGCCACCTCCACCTCTATCTCATCTCCATCTTCAACCTCGTCTCCATCTCATCTCTATCCCCAAATCCATTTCCATGTCCATCCCCATCCCTACCTCCAACCTCATCTGCAGCTCATCCCTATCTCCATTTCCATTTCCATTTCCATCCCCATCCCTATCTTAACCCCATCTTCATCCCCATCCCCACCTCCATCCCATCTCCATCTCTGTCCTCATCCCTATCTTCATCCCCATCCCCACCTCCATCCCATCTCCATCTCCGTCCTCATCCCTATCTTCATCCCCATCCCCACCTCCATCCCATCTCCATCTCCCTCCTCATCCCTATCTTCGTCCCCATCCCCACCTCCATCCCATCTCCATCTCTGTCCTCATCCCTATCTTCGTCCCCATCCCCACCTCCATCCCATCTCCATCTCTGTCCTCATCCCTATCTTCATCCCCATCCCCACCTCCATCCCATCTCCATCTCTGTCCTCATCCCTATCTTCATCCCCATCCCCACCTCCATCCCATCTCCATCTCCGTCCTCATCCCTATCTTCGTCCCCATCCCCACCTCCATCCCATCTCCATCTCCGTCCTCATCCCTATCTTCGTCCCCATCCCCATCTCCATCCCATCTCCATCTCCGTCCTCATCCCTATCTTCGTCCCCATCCCCACCTCCATCCCATCTCCATCTCCGTCCTCATCCCTATCTTCGTCCCCATCCCCACCTCCATCCCATCTCCATCTCCGTCCTCATCCCTATCTTCGTCCCCATCCCCACCTCCATCCCATCTCCATCTCCCTCCTCATCCCTATCTTCGTCCCCATCCCCACCTCCATCCCATCTCCATCTCCGTCCTCATCCCTATCTTCGTCCCCATCCCCACCTCCATCCCATCTCCATCTCCCTCCTCATCCCTATCTTCGTCCCCATCCCCACCTCCATCCCATCTCCATCTCCCTCCTCATCCCTATCTTCGTCCCCATCCCCACCTCCATCCCATCTCCATCTCCGTCCTCATCCCTATCTTCGTCCCCATCCCCACCTCCATCCCATCTCCATCTCCGTCCTCATCCCTATCTTCGTCCCCATCCCCATCTCCATCCCATCTCCATCTCCCTCCTCATCCCTATCTTCGTCCCCATCCCCACCTCCATCCCATCTCCATCTCCGTCCTCATCCCTATCTTCGTCCCCATCCCCACCTCCATCCCATCTCCATCTCCATCCTCATCCCTATCTTCGTCCCCATCCCCACCTCCATCCCATCTCCAGCTCCATCCTCATCCCTATCTTCGTCCCCATCCCCACCTCCATCCCATCTCCATCTCCATCCTCATCCCTATCTTCGTCCCCATCCCCACCTCCATCCCATCTCCATCTCCCTCCTCATCCCTATCTTCGTCCCCATCCCCACCTCCATCCCATCTCCATCTCCGTCCTCATCCCTATCTTCGTCCCCATCCCCACCTCCATCCCATCTCCATCTCCGTCCTCATCCCTATCTTTGTCCCCATCCCCACCTCCATCCCATCTCCATCTCCCTCCTCATCCCTATCTTCGTCCCCATCCCCACCTCCATCCCATCTCCATCTCCCTCCTCATCCCTATCTTCGTCCCCATCCCCACCTCCATCCCATCTCCATCTCCCTCCTCATCCCTATCTTCGTCCCCATCCCCACCTCCATCCCATCTCCATCTCCGTCCTCATCCCTATCTTCGTCCCCATCCCCACCTCCATCCCATCTCCATCTCCGTCCTCATCCCTATCTTCGTCCCCATCCCCACCTCCATCCCATCTCCATCTCCGTCCTCATCCCTATCTTCATCCCCATCCCCACCTCCATCCCATCTCCATCTCTGTCCTCATCCCTATCTTCATCCCCATCCCCACCTCCATCCCATCTCCATCTCCGTCCTCATCCCTATCTTCGTCCCCATCCCCACCTCCATCCCATCTCCATCTCTGTCCTCATCCCTATCTTCGTCCCCATCCCCACCTCCATCCCATCTCCATCTCTGTCCTCATCCCTATCTTCATCCCCATCCCCACCTCCATCCCATCTCCATCTCCGTCCTCATCCCTATCTTCAACCCCATCCCCACCTCCATCCCATCTCCATCTCCATCCTCATCCCTATCTTCGTCCCCATCCCCACCTCCATCCCATCTCCAGCTCCATCCTCATCCCTATCTTCAACCCCATCCCCATCTCCATCCCCACCTCCATTCCCATCCCCATCCCTGTCCCCATCCTCAATCCGCCCCCCACCAACCTGCCTCCTCCCTCTCATTCACTTCGTAGCAGCTCCAATAGTCCTTCTCCTTCATGACCACCTTCCTCCTGTGCAGGATCTCGAAGGTGAGCTCCTCGGCGGTCATGGTGGCCGGGATCTGCGAGGAGGGGACAGGTCTGCACGTGCCCAGGGCCGTTCCCTGTCCCTGTCCCCTGTGCCACCGCTCACCTTCACGTGCTGCTCAGCCTCCGTCTTCTTCTCCTCCAGGTACACGGTGCAGATGAAGTCCCCGGCTTGCTGCGGGACAAGGGGAAAGCACCTCAACCCGCAGCTCCCATAGGCAGGATGAATCCCACCGCCCGGCACCTCCAGGAGATGCTGGAGCGGGCCCCCCGTGTGAAGAGTACCCCACGGCAGGTCCCCACGGACCTGGGTCCCGCTGGATGCTGCCTCCCGCATCTTCATGATGGCCGTGATCTCATCCTGCTGCTTCTTCATCTCTTGGTCATTGACCTGCAAGGATGAGGAGCCCTCAGGGCTGCCCAGGCCATGCTTGAGTCCCACTGCAGCACCAGATGCTGGCTCCCAGGGGAATCTGCTCCCCTGCCCAGCAGCTCCATGCCTGGGGGTCCCCGGGGTCTGCAGGTCCATGGACCCTTTCCCCTCATCTCCAAAGCAGACAGAGGAGATTCCCCCTCCCCATCCTGACCCAAGGCGGGGGCTGAACCTACATTGAAGATCTTCACGTAGTGGCTGATGAGGTCCTCCACCACCCGTCCTGCCTTGTAGTCCTTCCCATCCATCTGGAAGAGCGTGGGCCCGAAGACGATGGCCAGGTTGTGCGTGTTCATCTGGTTCTCCCCGGAGAACCGCTGCACCCTGTGGGGAGCCCCATTGAGACCCCAGCCCCAAACCCCCACAGGATCCCTCCTTCAGCCTTGCCAAGGGGAACGCTCCCAACGCCCGGATGGGATGCTTGGCTTTGGGCCACCCCCAGATCCCTTTCCTTTCCTGGTCTGGGATGTGAGCCAAGGGATGAGGGTGCCACGGAGGAGGGGGTGATGCTCCATAGGGGCTGGTACCGGTGCCGTACCGAAATAGGTGGTTGATGAGCGCCTTCAGCGTGGCCCGGTTCACCGTGGGCAGCGTGCCCAGGAGCCGCCGGTACTCGGTGATCTTCACCTCCTCGTCCTCCAGCGCTGGCAGGGGATGAGCAGTGAAGGGGGGAAGGAGAGATCAGGATTCATGGCCCCAACATTCACCCTCCACATCCCACCTCAGAGCCTCCACTGTGGGGATGGAGCATCCCAGCAGCCGATCATCCCAGCTCCATGGGCCAGAGCACCCCAGGGCTGGAGCATCCCAGCTGCATGGGTCCAGAGCATCCCAGCATCATGATCCTGGAGCATCCCAGGGCTGGAGCATCCCAGCTCCATAGGTCCAGAGCATCCCAGCATCATGATCCTGGAGCATCCCAGGGCTGGAGCATCCCAGCTCCACAGGTTCAGAGCATCCCAGCATCATGATCCCAGATCATCCCAGACCCACAGGGCCAGAGCACCCCAGGATCATGACGCTGGAGCACCCCAGACCCACAGGGTCAGAGTACCCCAGGGCAGGAGCATCCCAGCTCCATAGGTTCAGAGCATCCCAGCATCATGATCCTGGAGCATCCCAGGGCTGGAGCATCCCAGCTCCACAGGTTCAGAGCATCCCAGCATCATGATCCCAGAGCATCCCAGACCCACAGGGCCAGAGCACCCCAGGATCATGATGCTGGAGCATCCCAGACCCACAGGGTCAGAGTACCCCAGGGCAGGAGCATCCCAGCTCCATAGGTTCAGAGCATCCCAGCATCATGATCCTGGAGCATGCCAGGGCTGGAGCATCCCAGCTGCATGGGTCCAGAGCATCCCAGCATCATAATGCTAGAGCATCCCAGATCCACAGGGCCAAAGTACCCCAGGGCTGGAGAATCCCAGCTCCATGGGGCTGGAGCATCGCAGGGCTGGAGCATCCTAAGGCCATAACATCCCAGCTTCCCAGAGCTGAAGCATCCCAGTCTCATGGGGCTGGATTATCCCAGCTTCACAGGGTAGAAGCATCCCAGCCTCATGTGGTTGGAGCATCCCATCTCCATGGGGCTGGAGCATCCCAGCTCCACAGCACTGTGCCTCATGGCTGTTTGCCACTGGGTCCATCCATCCCCAGTACCCATGGGCCGGATCCCGCAGCCCAGGGCAGGGGGGTCTGGTTCATTGCCCCATCTCCTCCCCATCCAAGCTGCAGGGGGTCACCCTCCAGTCCCCACCCACCCCATTTCCAACGTGTGCGTTGGGTGCCTGCCCCAACCGTGGAGGAGAGGATGCAGGATGCTGCAGCGGAACAGCCACCCTGACCTGGCCCCACAGCACCCGCAGCCCCCAGTGCTCACCAGTGGCCCACATCCAGTCCTGGCCCCAGCGCCTGGTGAAGAGCCCGTCCCCCAGGTCCCTGAAGAACCTCTTGAGGGTGTTGGCCACGTCATCCACGTGGTGCTCGCCCTCCTTGAGGCGCACGCTGCGGGCATCCCTGCGCAGCATCTCCAGCAGGCTGGTGGTCTTGGAGTTCTGCCCGCTCTTGCGGTAGATGCCTTCGGATGTCAACCCTGGGGTAGAGCCGGTGGGGTGAGACCTGCTCCCTAGGGAACAGGGACCCTTCCTGGCTGCTGCAGGATGGAGGAGCCAAAGCCCTGCTCCATCTGGAGCCTTCTTGTAACGCTCAAAGAGGGAGGGAAACGTGTGTTATCTGCTGGAGGATCTGTTCAGTGGGGAGAAGAGAAGGCTCAGGGGGGACCTGATGGCTGCCTACAAGTGCCTGAGAGGAGGACGGAGCCAGGAGGGGCTGGGCTCTGCTCCCAAGGAACAAGGGATGGGACAAGAGGAACCGGCCTCAAGCTGCACCAGGGCAGGTTTAGATGGAGCTGAGGAACAATTCCTGCCCCAGAGGGTGCTCAGGCATTGGAACAGGCTGCCCAGGGCAGGGCTGCAGGCACCGGCCCTGCAAGGGTTCACACCCCGGGGAGACGAGGCCTCAGTGCCATGGGGCAGAGGTGGCCTTGGGGCAATGGTTGCACTGGATGGTCCTAAAGCTCCTTCCCAACCCAGCTGATTCTGTGGTGTCTATGAGGTGAGCCGGTGATGCAGGCGCATACTGCACTGGGTGATGCAGGCGCATAGTGCACTGGGTGATGCAGGTGCCTACCACACTGGGTGATGCAGGCGCCTACCACACTGGGTGATGCAGGCGCGTACTGCACTGGGTGATGCAGGCACGTACCGCACTGGGTGATGCAGGCGCGTACTGCACTGGGTGATGCAGGCGCGTACCGCACTGGGTGACGCAGGCACGTACCGCACTGGGTGATATAGTCGATGCAGCGATCCACCAGCAGTGGGACATCGGACTCGGTGAGCTGCTGCTCTGACAACGTGTCCCCGGAGCTTCCCGCAGCCTTCTGGATGGCCTGGACCCATCCCAGGAAATCCAGCTTCCTCTCCCCTTGGATGTACAGCGTCCTGTCGGGAAGCCTGGCCTCAGCGTGGGACCCAATGCGCCACCAAACCCCACTGCGTGCATGGACCCCCTCCCAGGGAGGCTGGAATCAGGGGCATGGGGATGGTCCTGTTGGTCCTGTCCCTCTTTTGGGGGTCCTCAGCTGCTGCAGAGAGGGCAAAGACTTCCCAAAACGAGGAATAACTTGGGAAGGGTTGGGATATTTTACTGGGAGCATCCAACCCTCCCCATCCTTTGCTCCTACCTCCGCCTCTCCACCAGCACCAGCACCTCGTTGTCCCCCTGGATGGCTGGAAGGGAAGGCGAAGAGAACATCACCCATGGGAATGCGGGGTCCCCCGGTCCCCCTCCAGCCCAAATGGGATGAGGAGCAGCTCTCCAGGGACTGGGAAGAGCTCAGAAGGAGCCTGCATCCCGTCAGAGCATCATTCCCAACCTCCCACCAACAGCCGGCTGCCACCCATGAGGATGTGGGGCTCCCCCCTTGTCCCCACGCTCCCTCTCAGCCCATATGGGATGAGAAGCAGCTTTGCAGGGATGGGGAAGAGCTCAGCACAAGGAGCCTGTGCTCCACCAAAGCATCACCCCCAATGTCCCCACGAGGATGTGGGGCTCCCCCCTTGTCCCCACGCTCCCTCCCAGCCCATATGGGATGAGAAGCAGCTTTGCAGGGATGGGGAAGAGCTCAGCACAAGGAGCCTGTGCTCCACCAAAGCATCACCCCCAGTGTCCCCACGAGGATGTGGGGCTCCCCCCTCGTCCCCACGCTCCCATAGCGGAGACGGGGAGCCCGCAGTGGGGCCAGGGCACGCACAGAGCTCCTGCAGCTTGCGGAGCTGGAGGGGCTCCTGCCGCTCGCTGTCCTGGAAGCGGCCGTGGAGCGTGGATCCCACCAGGGCGAACCAGCCCTCCTTGGCGCGCTCCAGGTTGAGGCCCCCCTTGTAGTGCAGGCGGCCGACGCGCTCGAAGTCCAGCGCCAGGAGCTCCTCGGCACAGGGATGGACGAAGGACTGGGATAAAGAGGAGCCCGTCAGCGCCGGGGCAGCTCCCGGCTCCATCCGGCTGCCCCCAGCCCATCCCGTCCTACCTTGGCAATGGACTTGAGCCATTCCCGAGCGGAGCCGGGGTTCTCCAGCCCGAAGAGGTAGAGCCTCTCCGACTCGGTGTACACCTCAAAGGTGTTCTCGATGCTGCGGGAAGGGAGGGATGGGGAGCGTGGGCACCCGTGGGTGGTGGGAGGGTGCTGGGTGGGTGCGAGCAGCCCGTTTGCATGGGTACCCGGGGATACAGGGCGCTATTGGGATCCCCCCACCGCGGCCATGGGCTCTCCAGCATCCCTGTGAACGCTCCACTGGGGAGCAGAGCACGCGAAGGGGCTACAAAGGGGTTGCAAAGGGGTTACAAAGGGGTTGCAAAGGGGTTGCAAAGGGGTTATAAAGGGGTTGCAAAGGGGTTGCAAAGGGGCTGCAATGAGTTGAATGGTACAAAGGGGTTACAAAGGGTCCCATGGGGGTTACAAAGGGGCTGCACAAGGGTTATAAAGGGGCTACAAAGGGGTTCCAAAGCAGTTACTAAGTGGTTACAAAGGGTCCCATCGGGGTTACAAAGGGTCCCCTGGGGGTTACAAAGGGGCTGCAAATGGGTTGAAGAGGTACAAAGGGGTTACAAAGGGTCTGCACAGGGGTTACAAAGGGGCTGCAAAAGGGTTATAAAGGGGCTGCAGAGAGTTGAACGGTACAAAGGGGTTACAAAAGGTCCCATGGGGGTGTTACAAAGGGGCTGCAAAGGGGTTGAAGAGGTACAAAGGGGCTGCACAGGGGCTACAAAGGGTCTGCAAAAGGGTTATAAAGGGGCTGCAGAGAGTTGAACGGTACAAAGGGGTTGCACAAGGGTCACAAAGGGTCTGCAAAGGGGCTCCAAAGCAGTTACTATGTGGTTACAAAGGGTTTGCAAAGGGGTTACAAAGGGGCTGCAACGAGTTGAATGGTACAAAGGGGCTACAAAGGGTCCCATGGGGGTTACAAAGGGGCTGCACAAGGGTTATAAAGGGGCTGCAAAGGGGTTCCAAAGCAGTTACTAAGTGGTTACAAAGGTTCCCATCAGGGTTACAAAGGGGCTGCAACGAGTTGAATGGTACAAAGGGGCTACAAAGGGTCCCATGGGGGTTATAAAGGGGCTGCAAAGGGGTTCCAAAGCAGTTACTAAGTGGTTACAAAGGTTCCCATCAGGGTTACAAAGGGGCTGCAACGAGTTGAATGGTACAAAGGGGTTACAAAGGGTCCCACGGGGGTTACAAAGGGGCTGCAAAGGGGTTGAAGAGGCACAAATGGGTTCCAAGGGGTCCCACGGGGGTTGCGAAGGCTCTGGGGGTGCTGTGTGTGTGCCCACGGGGGCTGCTCCTACCCGTGCGTGTGGGGCGCGTTGTGCACCAGGCACACCATCTCCTGGGCCCGGAGCTCGCCGTTGGGCGCTGCGCTGCGCTCGCTCTCGTAGTAGCTGAGGAGCCCGTCCTGCAGCGTGCACCAGCGCCGGCTGAACTCTACAACCGGGTGCAAAGGGCTCGCAAAGGGCTTGCAATGGGCTTGCAAAGGGCTTGCAATGGGCTTGCAAAGGGCTTGCAATGGGCTTGCAATGGGCTTGCAAAGGGCTTGCAATGGGCTTGCAAAGGGCTCACAAAGGGCTTGCAAAGGGCTTGCAATGGGCTCGCAATGGGCTTGCAATGGGCTTGCAATGGGCTTGCAATGGGCTTACAATGGGCTTGCAATGGGCTTACAATGGGCTTACATGGGGCTTGCAATGGGCTTGCAATGGGCTTACAATGCACTTGCAATGGACTTGCAAATGGCTTGCAATGCGCTTGCAATGGGCCTACAAAGGGCTTACACAGGGCTTGTAATGGGCCTACAAAGGGCTTCCAATGGAGTTGCAAATGGCTTGCAAAGGGTTTGCAATGGGCTTGCAATTGACTTGCAAAGGGCTTGCAATGGGCTTACACAGGGCTTGCAATGGGCTTGAAAAGGGCTTGCAAAGGGCTTGCAATGGGCTTGCAAAGGGCTTGCAATGGGCTTGCAATGGGTTTGCAATGGGCTTGCAAAGGGCTTGCAATGGGCTTGCAATGGGCTTACAATGCACTTGCAATGGGCTTGCAATGGGTTTGCAATGGGCTTGCAAAGGGCTTGCAATGGGCTTGCAATGGGCTTACAATGCACTTGCAATGGACTTGCAAATGGCTTGCAATGCGCTTGCAATGGGCCTACAAAGGGCTTACGCAGGGCTTGCAATGGGCCTGCAATGGGCTTGCAAAGGGCTTGCAATGGGCTTTCAACGGGGCTGCTGTTCCCCATCCCCAGCACAGACACACACACACACACCCCCCCCCGGTACCTTCCGGCCCCTTGCGCTCGGCGATGGGCTTGGCCATGGACGGGGTCTTGTAGAGGAAGCCATGGTGGGTGACAGAGGGCAGCGGAACCGAGTAGGGCCTCTCCTCGCTGCCCCCCACCTCCAGGCGAGGGGGCTCTGTGAAGGGGGGCAGAGCTCGTCATGGGGGGCTGGAGCCCCCCGAAAACCCACCCCCAACTCAACCGGGGCTCCCCAGCCCAGCCCAAGAAGCAGGAACACGACAGCATCCCATGGCCGCACCAGCGTGGCATGGTTGGGGTGCAAGGAGCAGCTCCAGCCCCCCTGGCTCAAGTCAGTGGGGATCAGGGCATCCCACATCCCACATCCCTGAGCTGGGACGGGGATGCTGTGGGAAGGTGGGAACTGGGTTTTCCCCCTGGTGAGGTTCCTCCTGGGCTGTCCCAGCTCCTTGTGGATCCATAGGAGCGGAGCATCGCAGTCCCGCAGTGCCTCAGTTTCCCCTCTTTGCCTTCCAACAAGAGGCATTCCCCAAGTTCCTCCAGGAACCGGGATGCAGGGACACCCCTAAAGCACCCCCAGGTCAGAGCATGGGGCTCCCTGGAGCTCCCGGGACGGGGAAAAGGGGGAGAATCCCGCTCCGTGATCCCAGCCCTGCTCCACACAGAGCTCATCGGCCCCAGGAATTCCAGAGCCAGGATGAGCTCAGGGGATCGGTTTTCTCCGGCTCTTCCAGACCCATTTTGTGCTGACACATCCGGAATGCAGGGCAGGGCCAGCCCCAATCCTGGGTGAATTCCAGCTCCTGCGGGCCAGGCTTGGCCGCCGAGGCGGGGAAGGGAGGTGATGGCTGGGGCAGGCGGGAACACCTCCATCCCGGCGGCTGGAATGCTCCCGGGGTGGAAGTTCACCCTGTGTCAGGGTGCGGATGGGTCCCATGGGAGCCACAGCGGGTGGAATGGGTGGGAAGGTTTAGGGAATGCTGGAGGTGGGGGACAGAGGAATGTCCCCTGGGCTACCCAGGATGGTGCCTTGTCCTTCCCTGCATCCCATACAGGGTTTTGCACTGGTATCCCTGGCTGGGCTGGATCATGGGGGTGCTCCCCAAAGCCCTTTTTCCCTCTCCTGGGATGCACAGAGCAGCTGGATATCCCCACGCTGGGAAACTGCTGGGTAGGATAAAGCGCTGGGACCACACTCCTGTATCCCCAGGGATGCAACGACAGCGTTCCAGAGCCCTGCACCCATCAGGAAGCCCCAGCAGGGTTCCAGAGCCCTGCATCCATCAGGAAGCCCCAGCAGGGTTCCAGAGCCCTGTATCCCCCAGGATACCCCAGCAGGTTTCCAGAGCCCTGTATCCCCAGGACACCCCAGCAGGGTTCCAGAGCCCTGTATCCCCCAGGATACCCCAGCAGGGTTCCAGAGCCCTGTATCCCCAGGATACCCCAGCAGGTTTCGAGAGCCCTGTATCCCCAGGACACCCCAGCAGGTTTCCAGAGCCCTGTATCCCCAGGACACCCCAGCAGGTTTCCAGAGCCCTGTATCCCCCAGGATACCCCAGCAGGGTTCCAGAGCCCTGTATCCCCCAGGATACCCCAGCAGGGTTCCAGAGCCCTGTATCCCCAGGACACCCCAGCAGGGTTCCAGAGCCCTGTATCCCCCAGGATACCCCAGCAGGGTTCCAGAGCCCTGTATCCCCCAGGATACCCCAGCAGGGTTCCAGAGCCCTGTATCCCCCAGGATACCCCAGCAGGGCTCCAGAGCCCTGTATCCCCCAGGATACCCCAGCAGGGTTCCAGAGCCCTGTATCCCCCAGGACACCCCAGCAGGTTTCCAGAGCCCTGTATCCCCCAGGACACCCCAGCAGGTTTCCAGAGCCCTGTATCCCCCAGGACACCCCAGCAGGTTTCCAGAGCCCTGTATCCCCAGGATACCCCAGCAGGTTTCCAGAGCCCTGTATCCCCAGGACACCCCAGCAGGTTTCCAGAGCCCTGTATCCCCAGGATACCCCAGCAGGTTTCCAGAGCCCTGTATCCCCCAGGATACCCCAGCAGGTTTCCAGAGCCCTGTATCCCCCAGGACACCCCAGCAGGTTTCCAGAGCCCTGTATCCCCAGGATACCCCAGCAGGTTTCCAGAGCCCTGTATCCCCCAGGATACCCCAGCAGGGTTCCAGAGCCCTGTATCCCCCAGGATACCCCAGCAGGGTTCCAGAGCCCTGTATCCCCCAGGACACCCCAGCAGGGTTCCAGAGCCCTGTATCCCCCAGGACACCCCAGCAGGTTTCCAGAGCCCTGTATCCCCAGGATACCCCAGCAGGTTTCCAGAGCCCTGTATCCCCAGGACACCCCAGCAGGTTTCCAGAGCCCTGTATCCCCCAGGATACCCCAGCAGGGTTCCAGAGCCCTGTATCCCCCAGGATACCCCAGCATGGCTCCGGAGCCCTGCTTCCCCCGGGCTACCCCTGCCGCATTCCCGGTGGATGCCCCCAGCCCCCGGGCTCAGCCCCTTTACCTGAGGACCTGTTGTGGAGCAGGAATTCCATCTGCAGGCGCTGCCCGCTCCTCTGGGCCAGGGCGAGGGGCGTGGGGCACTGGGGGTCCCCGGTGGGGCAGGACGCGGCGGCCCCACAGAACAGCAGCGCCTGCGTCTCCGCCAGGTCCGCGGTGGTGACGGCCGCGCACAGCGCCTGGGGAGCACCGGGAACACCGGGATCGGCCCCGGGGCAGCAGCGGGAGCGGAGCCGGCGGCCGAGCGGGACAAAGGAGGGGAGGGAGGGAGGGGAGGTTTGGGGCGGAGGAGCCGCTGAGGTCACGGGGCGGGAGCGGGGCAGGAACACAAACAAAGGCACATGCGGGCCGACGGGCCCGACGGGGAGGGATGCGGGGGGGAGCGGGGACGGAGGTCCCCGTGCTGGGATGGCGTTGCCTGTGCTGGGATGGCATTGTTGGGATGGCATTGCCTGTGCTGGGATGGCATTGCCCGTACTGGGATATCATTGCCTGTGCTGGGATGGCATTGTTGGGATGGCATTGCCCGTCCTGGGATGGCATTGCCCGTGCTGGGATGGCATTGCCCGTACTGGGATGGCATTGCCCGTACTGGGATATCATTGCCTGTGCTGGGATGGCATTGTTGGGATGGCATTGCCTGTGCTGGGATGGCATTGCCCGTGCTGGGATGGCATTGTTGGGATGGCATTGCCTGTGCTGGGATGGCATTGTTGGGATGGCATTCCCTGTGCTGGGATGGCATTGCCTGTGCTGGGACGGCATTTCCTGTGCTGGGATGGTATTGCCTGTGCTGGGATGGCATTGCCTGTGCTGGAACGGCATTCCCTGTGCTGGGATGGCATTGCCTGTGCTGGGACGGCATTCCCTGTACCAGGACATCATTCCTTGTGCCAGTGGGGCAAAGTGGAGTGAAGCCCCAACCCAGCACCATGCCCATGGCTGGGAATGGGAATGGATGAATGGAAGTGAATTGGGTGCTGGTCGCTGTAGGAAGATGCTGGAATCACAGCGTCCCCCTCAACACCAACCCCATTCCAGCCCAATGCTGGACCCCGATGCCATTTCCAAGCTGGGAAGAGGTGAAACCTGGCTGTGGAATGGGGAATCCCATCCCAGATTGGGCTTTCCAGCCTGGAAATGGGGCTGGTTGTGCCCCATCAGAGATGTCTCCCTGTTCCCACATCCGGCTTGTCCCTCCTGGAGAGCCCAGGGTACCCAGTGGGGATACAGGGTGTGCAATGGGGGTGATGTGATACAGACAGAGATACGGGCAGGAATAAAGGCAGGGATACAGACAGGGATAAAGGCAGGGATAAGGGCAGGGATGCAGACAGGGATAAAGGCAGGGAGAAGGGCATGGATACAGATAGGGATAAAGGCAGGGGTACAAGCAGGGATGCAGACAGAGATAAAGCCACGGATAAGGCCAAAGACACAGACAGCCATACAGACAGGGATACAGGCAGGGATAAAGGCAGGAATACAGGCAGGGATACAGGCAGGGATAAAGGCAGGGATACAGACAGGGATAAGGACAGAGATACAGACAGCCATACAGACAGGGATACAGGCAGGGATTCAGGCAGGGACACAGGCAAGGACACAGACAGGGATAAAGGCAGGGATACATGCAGGGATTCAGGTGGGGATACAGGCAAGGATACAGGCAAGGCTACAGACATGGATACAGACAGGGATACAGGTAAGGGTACAGGCAGGGATACAGACATGGATAAAGACAGGGATACAGGCAGGGATACGGACATGGATACACACAGGGATACAGACATGGATACGGACACGGATACAGACAGGGATACACACAGGGATACAGGCAGGGATACAGACAGGGATACAGACAGGGATACAGGTAAGGGTACAGGCAGGGATACAGACATGGGTACGGACATGGATACACACAGGGATACAGGCAGGGATACAGACATGGATACAGACAGGGATACAGGAAAGGGTACAGGCAGGGATACAGACGTGGGTACGGACATGGATACACACAGGGATACAGGCAGGGATACAGACAGGGATACAGACAGGGATACAGGAAAGGGTACAGGCAGGGATACAGACATGGATACAGGAAAGGGTACAGGCAGGGATACAGACATGGATACAGACAGGGATACAGACAGGGATACAGGCAGGGATACAGGAAAGGGTACAGACATGGATACAGACATGGATACGGACACGGATACAGACAGGGATACAGGCAGGGATACAGGCAGGGATACGGACATGGATACAGGCAGGGATACAGGCAGGGATACAGACATGGATACACACAGGGATACACACAGGCTAAGAAGCCACCCAGCCCATACCCTAGGCTGGGCACCCTGCCTGGGCAGACCCTGCACCCCAGAGCAGGCTCAGCACCCCCCACCCCGAGCACCCGAGGGGACCCGCAGGCGCTGCCCCGAGGCACGGACCCTGTCGAGCTCCTCCTGGTTGCCGAAGAGCGGGTGGTAGCGCCGGTACTTGCCCTCCCGGTACTTGGCCGTCAGGAAGCGCCTCCTCTCCCGGCTCCCGCTGCCGGGGCCGATGGATTCGCTGGGGGGGACGTTGGCGGCCCAGAACTGGTTGGCCACAGCGTTACCGATGTGGTGGAAGAGCTGAGGGACAAAGAGAGGGTGATGGGGGGGGTGGAGAGGGGCTGGGATTGGGATGGGGTGGGATGAAGGGAGCTTAAAGCTCCTCCAGCTCCAGCCCCTGCCACGGGCAGGGACCCCTTCCATAGAGCAGCTTGCTCCAAGCCCCTGTGTCCAACCTGGCCTTGAACACTGCCAGGGATGGGGCAGCCACAGCTTCTCTGGGCACCCTGTGCCAGCGCCTCAGCACCCTCACAGGGAAGAGCTTCTGCCTAAGAGCTCAGCTCAGTCTCCCCTGGGGCAGGTTGAAGCCATTCCCCTTGGCCTGGCCCTACAGGCCCTTGTCCCAAGCCCCTCTCCAGCTTTCCTGCAGCCCCTTCAGGCACTGGAGCTGCTCTCAGGTCTCCCCTTCAGGAGCCTTCTCTTCTCCAGGCTGCCCCAGCCCAGCTCTCTCAGCCTGGCTCCAGAGCAGAGCTGCTCCAGCCCTCGCAGCAGCTCCGTGGCCTCCTCTGGCCCTGCTCCAACAGCTCCTCCAGGATTCCTCCTGCAGGATGAGCCCGGCAGCAGCTCCGCTCATGGGGACATTCGGAGCCCAAAGCTGCTGCTGTGCCTGCCCAGGGAGCAGTGGGGTGCACCGGGGGGGTGACGGGTGCTGCATGGGGTGCACAGGAGCACCCACTCGCTGCAGTAAGGCAGCCCCACAGCCCGGCTCAGCCCAACGTCTGCAGCCCCCGCAGCCCCTGACCCCCCTTCCTGCCTGGAAAACCACATCTGGAATGCAGCATCCAGCTGCCGGCAAGGGGCGGGATGCTCCGCATCCATCCGGGGGGATTTAAAGGCCATTCCCTGGCTCCTCGCCACCCCACTGCCCGGTACCGAATGATGCTCAGCCTGACATGAAGAGGTTTCTCGCTGCCTCAGCGAGCCCTTGGGAGCTCTGCCAGCATCCCTAAGCAGCAGAGCCAGGGTGGGAATGGGATGCTGGCAGCATCCTGGGTTTGGGCATCAATCCCGGAGAAGGGAGGGGATGGAGCACAGCTGGAAGCGTTTGGGGGCTCGGGGAGCAGGCGATGCCGGAGGCAGCGCGGGTGGGACTCGGGAAGGAATGCGGGATCCGAGCAGGAAAGGTCGGGAAGAGCGGGGCCAGCCAGGGTCTGCCGGCTGGGAATGCGGCTGGGCTGGGGCTGGGAATGAATCCCGTCTGTGTCCATGCATTCCACTGCAACACTTCCTCAGCACCGGCGCACAAGCGCTGCTTGTCCTCACCACGCGGGTGTCCACGGACCACAGGGATGGGGATGGAGGATGCCGAGGGGCCAAACCCACCGCAGCGTCACCCCAAAGGCTGGGGAAGTCCTCAGCCCAGCACCAATGGCTCTGCCATGGGGAGGGGATTTCTGCCCCCCAAAAAGGGGCTTTGGGGGGGTCGATCTGCACCAATACCTGGATCAGCTCCTCCGTCCACACCTTCCTGTCCATCTTCAGGCTCCGCACTTTGCTGATTGAAGGACCCAAGCCCCGGTGCTCCCCTGCCAGCGAGACAAAGCCGTTGAGGAGCTGCTTTGGGATGGGAGAAGCCACCCCAACGCGGTCCCCAGCCTCGGGATGCGGGCACCTGCGCATCGCTTGCAGATGACCACGCAGAGGTTGATGGAGGCCCAGTCGGGCTTGGGGGAGCCGCAGTCGGCGCAGGAGCGGTTGGGTTCCAGGGCCCAGATCCTCTCGGCCACCTCGGAGTTGGAGAGGGCCTCGGCGATGGATTGCTGCATGGCTTCCACCCACTCCTCCTTCTCCTGCTCCGAGTCGGCCGCGAAGCTGAAGGTGCGGTACGGGGTGGTGAGGTCGAAGCCGCGGCGATCCACCTCCTTCACGTTGCCCACATTCATCTCGATGTAGGTGATGCCGATGCCGAGGCGATAGTCCTGGGGTGAGGGTGGGCAATGGGGACCCGTCCCGGAGGGACACGGGCGATGCAGGAGCTGCCGTGCCCCTTTCCCTGCCTGGCTCCCATCCCTATGGAGCATCTCCAGTGGGTTCGGTGCTCCTGGGGAACCCCAAAGCTTGGAGCGGGTGGTGAGAAGGGGCTGCAGCCCCAGTGTCAGCAGCCTGTGGGGGCTGAGCTGTCCCCATTTAGGGGGTGGCACCCCCAGCTCACTGCTGCCCTGCTCAGTGTGCGGGTGCAAAGGGAAGGGTCCCCCATAGAGCATCCCTGGGGTGCCCCACGGTGTCACCTCATCCACTGCTGTGTGTGCGGGGGCAAAGGGAAGGGATCCCCTTAGAGCATCCCTGGGGTGCCCCATGGTGTCACCTCATCCACTGCTCAGTGTGCGGGGGCAAAGGGAAGGATCCCCTTAGAGCATCCCTGGGGTGCCCCATGGTGTCACCTCATCCACTGCTCAGTGTGTGCGGGGGCAAAGGGAAGGGATCCCCTTAGAGCATCCCTGGGGTGCCCCATGGTGTCACCTCATCCACTGCTGTGTGTGCCGGTGCAAAGGGAAGGGATCCCCTTAGAGCATCCCCGCGTTGCCCCATGGTGTCACCTCATCCACTGCTCAGTGTGCGGGGGCAAAAGGAAGGGTCCCCACTAAAGCATCCCCGCGTTGCCCCATGGTGTCACCTCATCCACTGCTGTGTGTGCGGGTGCAAAGGGAAGGGTCCCCACTAAAGCATCCCCGCGTTGCCCCATGGTGTCACCTCATCCCCGCCACCCACCTCAGCGTTCTTGTAGAGGAGAACTTTGTCCCCAGCCACCACCACGAAGAGCTTGTGCTTGAAGCCGCGCAGCTCCAGGAAGCCGCTCCTGTCGGGCAGCTCGGCGGGGGCCCCACTGGAGCCTGGGGACCCCGATGTCCTCCTCCGCTCCTCCGCCGCCTGCTGCAGGGTCCGGATCCACTCGTTGCGCTCGGCTGCGGGGATGGGGATGGGTCAGGATCCGAGCCCGGGGCCGGGAAGCTCCCGAGCTCCTCCCGTGGGGCGCAGGGGCAGGCGGGGAGCCGGGAACCCACCATCGCTCTCGGCACGGAACACGAAGTTGCGGTTGTTGGTGATGACCTCGAACTTCTGGTCCCCGACGCTGGCGATGCGGGAGATGGAGGAGACGGGGATGAAGCGCTTGGAATAGGCGTCCTGGAGCAGGGGACAGCGGGAGAGACTGCTCAGCACCAGAGGGCCATGGAACCAGCCAGTTCAGGCACTTGTAGGCAGCCATCAGGTCCCCCCTGAGCCTTCTCTTCCCCACACTGAACCCCCCAGGTCCCTCAGCCCTTCCCCATCACACTTGGGCTCCAGGCCCTGCACCAGCTCCATTCCCTGCCCTGTCCCTGCTCCAGCACCTCAAGGTCTCTCTTGCAGTGAGGGGCCCAGAGCTGAACACAGGATTTGAGGTTCAGCCTCACCGTGGCCTTGGGATGATGGGATGGAGACCACCCCAGGCTCCGAGCATCCCGCATCCCACCAGCATCACCCCAGCACCCACCCCCTGCTGCTCCCCGCCATACCCAGCAGGATGCGGCCCCACAGGGGCATCTCCTCTGCCACCTCCTCCCCGCAAGCCCCAGACCCCAACCCACCTTCTCACTGTCGAAATAGCACAGGTGCTCAGCATCCAGCTTCACCCAGCGCCTCTGGTAGATGTAGGACCTGGAAGGGACCCGCTGGAGGTGACCCAGCTGCCCCCCAATGGGGCACCTGAGGACAGGGTGTAGGGAGGGCCCCACGGGACTGGGGCAGCCCCTTCCCTGCTCCCCCCCATCCCCAGGCTGCACCGAGCGCCCTTGAACTGGGGTGACTCCAATGTGCTTCACGCCCCAGTTGTCAAGAGCCTGGGGCCACCTCAGCATCGATCCTGTGCTGTGTCCCCATCCTGATCCCTTGATCCTGGTTTGATCCCAATTTTGATCCTGGCTTTGATCCCAGTTTTAATCCATGTCCCCATCCCTCCATCCTGCAGCGTGTCCCCATCCCCATCCCTCCATCCTGCACCGTGTCCCCATCCCCATCCCTCCATCCGGCACCGTGTTCCCATCCCTCCATCCTGCATCGTGTTCCCATCCCCATCCCTCCATCCTGCACCGTGTCCCCATCCCCATCCCTCCATTCTGCACCATGTTCCCATCCCTCCATCCTGCACCGTGTCCCCATCCCCATCCCTCCATCCTGCACCGTGTCCCCATCCCTCCATCCTGCACCGTGTTCCCATCCCCATCCCTCCATCCTGCACCGTGTTCCCATCCCCATCCCTCCATCCTGCACCGTGTCCCCATCCCCATCCCTCCATCCTGCACCGTGTCCCCATCCCCATCCCTCCATCCGGCACCGTGTTCCCATCCCTCCATCCTGCATCGTGTTCCCATCCCCATCCCTCCATCCTGCACCGTGTCCCCATCCCCATCCCTCCATTCTGCACCATGTTCCCATCCCTCCATCCTGCACCGTGTCCCCATCCCCATCCCTCCATTCTGCACCGTGTCCCCATCCCCATCCCTCCATTCTGCACCATGTCCCCATCCCTCCATCCTGCACCGTGTCCCCATCCCCATCCCTCCATCCTGCACCATGTTCCCATCCCCACCCCTCCATCCTGCACCGTGTCCCCATCCCCATCCCTCCATTCTGCACCATGTCCCCATCCCTCCATCCTGCACCGTGTTCCCATCCCCATCCCTCCATCCTGCACCGTGTTCCCATCCCCATCCCTCCATCCTGCACCGTGTCCCCATCCCCATCCCTCCATCCTGCACCGTGTCCCCATCCCCATCCCTCCATCCTGCACCGTGTCCCCATCCCCATCCCTCCATCCTGCACCGTGTTCCCATCCCTCCATCCTGCACCGTGTTCCCATCCCCATCCCTCCATCCTGCACCGTGTCCCCATCCCCATCCCTCCATCCGGCACCGTGTTCCCATCCCTCCATCCTGCACCGTGTCCCCATCCCTCCATCCTGCACCGTGTTCCCATCCCCATCCCTCCATTCTGCACCATGTCCCCATCCCTCCATCCTGCACCGTGTCCCCATCCCCATCCCTCCATCCTGCACCGTGTCCCCATCCCCATCCCTCCATCCGGCACCGTGTTCCCATCCCCATCCCTCCATCCTGCACCGTGTCCCCATCCCCATCCCTCCATCCTGCACCGTGTCCCCATCCCCATCCCTCCATCCTGCACCGTGTCCCCATCCCCATCCCTCCATCCTGCACCGTGTCCCCATCCCTCCATCCGGCACCGTGTCCCCATCCCTCCATCCTGCACCGTGTTCCCATCCCCATCCCTCCATTCTGCACCATGTCCCCATCCCTCCATCCTGCACCGTGTTCCCATCCCCATCCCTCCATCCTGCACCGTGTCCCCATCCCCATCCCTCCATCCTGCACCGTGTTCCCATCCCTCCATCCTGCACCGTGTCCCCATCCCTCCATCCTGCACCGTGTTCCCATCCCCATCCCTCCATCCTGCACCGTGTTCCCATCCCCATCCCTCCATCCTGCACCGTGTCCCCATCCCCATCCCTCCATCCTGCACCGTGTCCCAAGGGAACACATCCCAGCAGGGCTCTTCCATGGAATCCCTGCGGGATGGGGACCCAGCCTGGGGCTGCTGCCCAAGGGTCTGTTTGCTCAGGAAGGGTTTCGCCATCCCCACACGTGACACCAGAGCTCGGCCCTTCTGGAACCAGCAGCAGCCACTGGGATCAGAACCGGGATCAGGAATGGGATCAGAACCAGGATCAAAACTGGGATCAGAAATGGGATCAAAACTGGGATCAAAACCGGGATCAGAACCAGGATCAAAACTGGGATCAGAACCAGGATCAAAACTGGGATCAGAAATGGGATCAAAACCGGGATCAGAACCGGGATCAGAAATGGGATCAGAAAGGGGATCAAAACTGGGATCAGAACCGGGATCAGAAATGGGATCAAAACTGGGATCAGAACCAGGATCAAAACTGGGATCAGAACCGGGATCAGGAATGGGAACAGAAATGGGATCAAAACTGGGATCAGAAATGGGATCAAAACTGGGATCAAAACCGGGATCAGAACCAGGATCAAAACTGGGATCAGAACCGGGATCAAAAACGGGATCAGAAATGGAATCTAAACCAGGATCAAAAAAGGGATCAGAAATGGGATCAAAACCGGGATCAGAAATGGAATCTAAACCAGGATCAAAAAAGGGATCAGAAATGGAATCTAAACCAGGATCAAAACCGGGATCAGAACTGGGATCAGAAATGGGATCAAAACTGGGATCAGAACCAGGATCAAAACTGAGATCAGAAATGGGATCAAAACCGGGATCAGAACCAGGATCAAAACCGGGATCAGAACCGGGATCAGAAATGGGATCAAAACCGGGATCAGAACCGGGATCAGAAATGGGATCAAAACTGGGATCAGAACCAGGATCAAAACTGGGATCAGAAATGGAATCTAAACCAGGATCAAAAAAGGGATCAGAAATGGGATCAAAACCGGGATCAGAAATGGAATCTAAACCAGGATCAAAAAAGGGATCAGAAATGGGATCAAAACCGGGATCAGAACCGGGATCAGAAATGGGATCAAAACTGGGATCAGAACCAGGATCAAAACTGGGATCAGAACCAGGATCAAAACTGGGATCAGAAATGGGATCAAAACCGGGATCAGAACCGGGATCAGAAATGGGATCAGAAATGGGATCAAAACTGGGATAAGAACCGGGATCAGAACCAGGATCAAAACTGGGATCAGAACGGGGATCAAAACCGGGATCAGAAATGGAATCTAAACCAGGATCAAAAAAGGGATCAGAAATGGGATCAAAACCGGGATCAGAAATGGAATCTAAACCAGGATCAAAAAAGGGATCAGAAATGGGATCAAAACCGGGATCAGAAATGGAATCAAAACCAGGATCAAAAAAGGGATCAGAAATGGGATCAAAACCGGGATCAAAGCTGGGATCAAAACCAGGATCAAAAAAGGGATCAGAAATGGGATCAAAACGGGGATCAAACCTGGGATCAAAACCAGGATCAAAACAGGGATCAGAACCACTTGGCTCTGCCCTGGGAGCTCATCCCTGTCCCACGGGACACAGACACCCCCAGCCCCGCTCTGACCTCCCATTGCTTTTAGATGCTGAGGGGTTGGGGTCCCGGTTTGCCTCCCATTGCCTCCCCCAGGCTCCCATCAGCAGCTTCCCAGGGACTTCCCGGTGCTTCCACTTCCCCAGCAGCCCCACTGCCACACTGCAAGCAGCCTGAGCTTCCTCCTCCTGCTCCTCCTCCTCCTGCTCCTCCTCCTCCTGCTCCTGCTGCTCCTCTTCCTCCTCCTCCTCCTCTTCCTCCTCCTCCTCCTGCTCCTCCTGCTGCTCCTGTTCCTCCTCCTCTTCCTCCTCCTCCTCCTCCTGCTGCTCCTCTTCCTCCTCCTCCTCCTCCTGCTCCTTCTTCTCCTCCTCCTCCTCCTGCTGCTCCTCCTCCTGCTCCTCTTCCTCCTCCTCCTCCTCCTGCTCCTTCTTCTCCTTCTCCTCCTCTTCCTCCTCCTCCTCCTCCTTCTCCTTCTCCTCCTCCTCCTCCTCCCCCTCCTCCCCCGTCTGCAGCCCCAGTGCAGCAGCTCCCAAACACCCTTCCCATCTCCTGTAGGTTTTGCTCCCAGCTGGAGCAGGGGCTCTTTAAGCAGGTTCCCTGATGGGACGGAAGTGAGCGTGTGGTGCTCACTCTGTGCACTGGCGCACTGGGGGCACTGGGCTCACTGTGCTCACCGGGTGCACTGGGCTCACTGGGCTCACTGGGCTCACTGTGCTCACTGGTCTCACTGGGGGCACTGGTCTCACTGTGCTCACTGGGCTCACTGGGCGCACTCGGCTCACTGGGCGCACTGGGCGCACTGGGCTCACTGGGCGCACTGGGCGCACTGGGCTCACTGTGCTCACTGGGCTCACTGGGCTCACTGGGCTCACTGGGCGCACTGGTCTCACTGTGCTCACTGGGCGCACTGGTCTCACTGGGGGCACTGGTCTCACTGTGCTCACTGGGCTCACTGGGCCCACTGGTCTCACTGGGGGCACTGGTCTCACTGTGCTCACTGGGCTCACTGTGCTCACTGGGCTCACTGGGCGCACTCGGCTCACTGGGCGCACTGGGCACACTGGGCGCACTGGGCTCACTGGTCTCACTGGGCTCACTGGGCTCACTGGGCTCACTGGGCGCACTGGTCTCACTGGGTGCACTGGTCTCACTGGGCGCACTGGTCTCACTGGGCACACTGGTCTCACTGTGCTCACTGGGCGCACTGGTCTCACTGGGCGCACTGGGCTCACTGGGCCCACTGGGCTCACTGGGTGCACTGGTCTCACTGGGCGCACTCGGCTCACTGGGCTCACTGGGTGCACTGGTCTCACTGGGTGCACTGGGCTCACTGGGTCCACTGGGCTCACTGGTCTCACTGGGCTCACTGGGTGCACTGGGCTCACTGGGCGCACTGGTCTCACTGGGCCCACTGGGCTCACTGGGTGCACTGGGCTCACTGGGCGCACTGGGTGCACTGGTCTCACTGGGTGCACTGGGTGCACTGGTCTCACTGGGCTCACTGGTCTCACTGGGTGCACTGGTCTCACTGGGCTCACTGGGCTCACTGGTCTCACTGGGCTCACTGGTCTCACTGGTCTCACCGGTCTCACTGGGCGCACTGGGCTCCCCGCACTTTCTTGTCCCTGAGCACGCAGACACCCATAGCACCCATGTTCTCACTCCTGCAGCACCACAAACCCCTCCCGTGCACTCCATGGCCCCGCTGCTCTCCCGGGGCTCCCAGTTCCTCCTTCCCCAGCCCCACAGCTCCGCACCACGCGCACCGAGGCCGTGAGCCCCAGGCTGGAGCCGGCACCCCTAAGGCAGAGCCACCAGCACCCGCTGCCGCCGCACCCACGGATGGAGGCGCCGGGGGTTGGCACCATCCCTAGGGATCCCCCCACATCCCCGCTGCTATTCCAGGGCTCCCCAGAGCAAAGGCAGCTCATTCCCACGCAGGATCCAGCGGGAAGCTCACTGCAGCCTTCCCTGCTCCCCCCCCGGCTCAGTGCTGCTGGCACCCACCCCAACCAAGGCTTTTGCACCCCAGAATGAGTGGGTTTAACCCATTTGGGGTTAAACCGGGGCTGGGGATGCAGCGGGAGGAATTGCAGGGGGACCCCCCCGAGGCGCAGGGATGGGTCCCGTGCCCCCCCCCCCCCAATGGCATCACTCACCCCTGGGGTGGGTTCTTGTCCAACCACCCCGCTCTGAGCGGGGCTGGCAGCGGGGACCCCTCCATGTCCGTGCCGCTGGGGAAGGCGGGCGCTGGGTGCGGGCTGGGGCTGCGGACATGGAGCGGGGGGGGGTGGGGACAGGGAGGGTGAGATCCCCCCCCCTCCCCGCCACCCCTGCGCGCTGCGGCCTCCCCGTGTCCTTCCCCGGGGCATAGGCAGAGCAGGAGGCAGCCTCAGCAGCAGGGATGGGGGGGGCTTGGGGGGCCTTCCTGGGGGTCCCATTGGTGGGGGTCCCATAGTGGGGGTCCCATTGGTGGGGGTCTCATTGATGGGGGTCCCACAGTGGGGGTCCCATAGTGGGGGTCCCATTGATGGGGTCCCATTGGTGGGGGTCCCATAGTGGGGGTCCCATTGAGGGGGGTCCCATGGTGGGGGTCCCATAGTGGGGGTCCCATTGATGGGGGTCCCATAGTGGGGGTCCCACAGTGGGGGTCCCATTGCTGGGGGTCCCATTGGTGGCGGTCCCATTAATGGGGTCCCCTTGGTGGGATTCCCCTGGTGCGGTCCCATTGGAGGGGGTCCCATAGTGGGGGTTTCCCTGGTAGGGTCCCCCTAAGTGGCGGTCTCATTGATGGGGGTCCCATAGGTGGGATCCCCTTGTGGGGGTCCCATAGGTGGGGGTCCCATAGGTGGGGGTCCCCCAGGTCCTGGGACAGGAGGGACGTGGATTCCAGCCCTGGGAATGGGGGCCAGGGGGATCCCCAAACCCGGGTAGGCGCAGAGCTGCTCCCTGCTCACGCGTGCACACGCGGGCTCCCCTACATGAGTACTGCGTGTGCACACGCGTGCACAGCCCCGAGCTCTGCACGCACACACACACGGACCAGCGCTCTCTGCCGACGCTGACGCGCACACACATCCCCATTTACACACACACACACACATCCCCATTTACACACACACACACACATCCCTTTACACACACACACACACATCCCCATTTACACGCACACACACACATCCCCATTTACACGCACACACACACATCCCCATTTACACACACACACACATCCCCATTTACACGCACACACACACATCCCCATTTACACGCACACACACACATCCCCATTTACACACACACACACACATCCCCATTTACACACACACACACACATCCCTTTACACACACACACACACATCCCCATTTACACGCACACACACACATCCCCATTTACACGCACACACACACATCCCCATTTACACACACACACACATCCCCATTTACACGCACACACACACATCCCCATTTACACACACACACACACATCCCCATTTACACGCACACACACACATCCCCATTTACACACACACACACACATCCCCATTTACACACACATGCATGTCCCATCCTGCACACACACACACATCCCCATTTACACACACACGCGTGTCCCATCCTGCACACACACACACATCCCCATTTACACACACACACACACACATCCCCATTTACACACACGTGTGTCCCATCCTGCACACACACACACATCCCCATTTACACACACATGCATGTCCCATCCTGCACACACACACATCCCCATTTACACACACACGCGTGTCCCATCCTGCACACACACACACATCCCCATTTACACACACACGCGTGTCCCATCCTGCACACACACACACATCCCCACTTACACACACACACATCCCCATTTACACACACACACGTGTCCCATCCTGCACACACACACACATCCCCACTTACACACACACACATCCCCACTTACACACACACACATCCCCATTTACACACACACGCGTGTCCCATCCTGCACACACACACACATCCCCATTTACACACACACACGTGTCCCATCCTGCACACACACACACACACATGTCCCATCCTGCACACACACACACACACATGTCCCATCCTGCACACACACACACACGTGTCACACACACGTGTCACACACACACGTGTCACACACACACGTGTCACACACACGTGTCACACACACACACATACACACACGTGTCACACACACGTGTCACACACACACGTGTCACACACACGTGTCACACACACACATACACACACACGTGTCACACACACACGTGTCACACACACACATGTCACACACACACGTGTCACACACACGTGTCACACACACACGTGTCACACACACACATACACACACGTGTCACACACACGTGTCACACACACACGTGTCACACACACACACGTGTCACACACACACGTGTCACACACACACGTGTCACACACACACACACACGTGTCACACACACACACGTGTCACACACACACGTGTCACACACACACACGTGTCACACACACACACACGTGTCACACACACGTGTCACACACACACACACGTGTCACACACACACGTGTCACACACACACACACGTGTCACACACACACACACGTGTCACACACACGTGTCACACACACACACGTGTCACACACACACGTGTCACACACACACACGTGTCACACACACACGTGTCACACACACACACGTGTCACACACACACACACGTGTCACACACACACACACGTGTCACACACACGTGTCACACACACACACACGTGTCACACACACACGTGTCACACACACACACGTGTCACACACACACGTGTCACACACACACACGTGTCACACACACACACACACGTGTCCCATCCAGGCCGTACCTGCGCAGCGCAGCCTCCCCCTGCTCCTCGCTGAGCTCATCCTCGCTGTCGAGGCTGTTGGCGCGCAGGGACCGCGGTGCCGGGGGCTCGGCCTCCTCCTGCGGGGACACGCGTGGGAGCCCCCCAGTGCTCCAAGCCCTCTGCTGCGGCCAGGGCAGCCCGGGCGGTGCTGAGCAGCCCCCGGCCCCGCTGCGGGGCTCAGCCGGGTGCGGCGCTGCAGGGGGACCCGCACGCAGCACGGGCGGGATGCAGGCAGCTGCAGGGATGCTCTGGGCGCTCGGCGGGGCAGGGACCCCGCTCTGCACACTGCATGGGTGCTCCCCAGCACCTCCAAAGCAGCCCGGCACCAGCGCTTCTCCCCCGGGAATGGTCACCCGGCTCCCGTGGGATGGGGCAGGCTGAGAGCTGGGACCACAGAACCGCGTGGAGAAGAGAGGGCTCCTGAAGGGGAGACCTGAGAGCAGCTCCAGTGCCTGAAGGGGCTGCAGGAAAGCTGGAGAGGGGCTTGGGGCAGGGGATGGAGGGATGGGATGAGGAGTACTGGCTTCAGCCTGGCAGAGGGAAGAGTTAGATGGGACATGGGGAGGAAGCTCTTCCCTGGGAGGGTGCTGAGGCGCTGGCACAGGGTGCCCAGAGAAGCTGTGGCTGCCCCATCCCTGGCAGTGCTCAAGGGCAGGTTGGACACAGGGGCTTGGAGCAAGCTGCTCTATGGAAGGGGTCCCTGCCCGTGGCAGGGGCTGGAGCTGGAGGGGCTTTAAGCTCCCTTCATCCCAAGCCATTCCATGACTCCAGGACCAACCTTCTCAGCCATCTCCCCCACGGCTCCACTTAATTCCTCCTCCGAGGCCGAGTCCTCGTAGTCCGAGTCATCTGCAGGAACAGAGGGAAGATGCTGGGATGGAGCCAGGGGTCCTGCACCCCCTGCCCGTCCCAGCCTGCACGGGGCTGCGCCAGCGCTGGCTGGTGCCCCTGCCCTTGGCAAACCCCGGCTCCAGGGCAACAATGGGGGCTTTATCCGGAGCCTGGAGAAGAGCTGGGAAGGGCAAAGTCCCACCGGTGGCAATGGCACAACCGCCGCGGCACCACCGGGACGGGACTTTGGCACCATCCCTGCTCTTGTGCCCCTGCCCGCCCAGCATCACCCCAGTGAAACCAGGCCTGCTTCAAACATGGTGACCCCTGGGGAAGAGCAGAAGGCTCCAGGAACTGGTGCCTTCAGAGCGCTGTGCTCTCCTCCAGGAGATGCTGCATCCGAACCCCATCCCACACCCCGCACCCCTGGAGAACCCCCATCCCAGAGGGGACGGAGGAGGGAAGGACCCACCAAGCGGGAGCACGGCACCCACGGGACGGCTGGGGCGGGATGGGCCCATGCCAAGGGATGCCCTGGGCCAGGGGAAGGGCCGAGGGTACCCCTGTACTCACCAAACTGGGGCACGAAGGGGACGGTGGCCTTGGGGGGCGGCTCCGGTGGCAGCGGTGCCGGGGGCTTGGAGCGGGGTAGGAGCAGCGGTGGGGATGGGGGGCACGGGGGGACACCAGGGGGTCTCTCGGCGATGGGGACCCCCTCCTTGGCAGGGGTGCTATGGAGAGAGGAGCAAACCTGGAGCAGCCCAAGCCTCCCCTTCCCAACCCTGGCGCATCACGAGATGGGGCGAGAAGACCCCACCGCATCCGGTACCCCAAGCGCCAGCAGATCCAAGCCCATGGACTGGGTCCCATCGACCTCCCTCAGGTTATCCCAGTGCTTTTCCAGCCTGGGAATAGCTTCCTGCCCCCAGCCTCACTTCCCCATCACCAGGGCTGCGGCTCCGGTGCCTCATCTGCCCCCCAAGGACACCAGAAGCCACCTATGGCATCGAAGGCACATCCTGGAGCAGGTTTGATGCTCTCCTGGTGCGTCCCCAGCTGGATCTGGGGTGCCCCAAGCAGGATGGGGGGAACTGGGGGGCTCCCTGCCTACCCGGGGCCCTACAGTGGGCTGGGAAGCAGGGATCCCGGTAAGAAGATGGCATCAAGGAGCTGGGAGCTTGATGCCAGGGATCAACCCTCGGAGATGGAGCCTTGGGGCTCTCCTGGGTTGAGAACCCCAGACCTTGGCCAGAGGGAGCCCAGGGACCCTCCTCGTGCCCACGGGCTGCTCCTGCCTCCCGCTCTGCACTCAATTCCTGCTTCCCCACCATGAACAGAAGCCATGGGATTTATGGAGCTGGTTTTAGGGCAGGAAGCGGAGAGGAAGCTTCCTGAGGAGATAAAAGGATGCGGGACCCGACTGAGCAGGGAGGGGGCTGAGGAGGCAGGCAGAGCCCCACCGCGAGCCCCTCACCATGGAACCGCCACGGAACGGGATGGGTTGCAGGGACCTCAAAGTGCATCCGGCCCCAAGCCCTGCCCTGGGCACGCTGGTGCTGAAGCCACCATCCCCATCCCCGCTGTGCCCCACGCCGGCCCCAGGGCGCCCACGGCCACGTCACAGCCCAGCACCGCCACCAGCACCCCTGTGCTGGTCCCTGGGCTCCCATGGTGCTGCTCTGGGACACGCTGCCCTCCTTTCCCAGCAGCCATCGCTGTGGGAACCAGCCACAGCCACGCATCCATTAGGGAATGGTGGTTGGGAATGCGGGCACGGAGCGGCCACACAGCCCAGGCAGCGGCTGGTGGCACCCAGGGACAGGAGGTGACAACAGAGCCCAATGGGGTCTGCGCATTGAGGGCCACATTGGTGCTGTCCTCGTGGCCCCCCATGGGGGCTCCGTCACCCCTGCACCCCAAAGCCAAACCCCAGCACCCGGGGCTCACAGGGATGTGCCTCTGCCATCAAGCCATCACCTTCCGGGGGCTCCTCTGCACCCATAGCAGCATCACCCCATTACTGAGGTGTGGACACAAGGACCCAGCACTGCGACCCCAGCAGGGCAAGCATCACCAGCACCTCGAACAGGGGCAAGCATCACCCCAACAAGGGCAAGCATCATCCCAGCAAGGGCAAGCATCACCTTCAACAGGGGCAAGCATCATCATCACCTCCAACATGGGCAAGCATCACCCCAGCATGGGCAACCATCACCTCCAACAGGGGCAATCATCACCTCCAGCATGGGCAACCATCACCCCAACACTGGCAACCATCACCCCAACAGGGGCAACCATCACCCCAACATGGGCAACCATCACCCCAATATGGACAACCATCACCCCAACAGGGGCAACCATCACCTCCAACAGGGGCAACCATCACCCCAACACGGACAACCATCACCCCAACATGGGCAACCATCACCCCAACATGGACAACCATCACCCCAACATGGGCAACCATCACCCCAACAGGGGCAACCATCACCTCCAACATGGGCAACCATCACCCCAACAGGGGCAACCATCACCCCAATACGGAAAACCATCACCCCAACAGGGGCAACCATCACCCCAATATGGACAACCATCACCCCAACAGGGGCAACCATCACCCCAATATGGACAACCATCACCCCAACATGGGCAACCATCACCCCAACAGGGGCAACCATCACCCCAACACAGACAACCATCACCCCAACATGGACAACCATCACCCCAACAGGGGCAACCATCAGCTCCAACAGGGGCAACCATCACCCCAACAGGGGCAACCATCACCCCAATATGGACAACCATCACCCCAACAGGGGCAACCATCACCTCCAACAGGGGCAACCATCACCCCAACACGGACAACCATCACCCCAACATGGGCAACCATCACCCCAACATGGACAACCATCACCCCAACATGGGCAACCATCACCCCAACAGGGGCAACCATCACCTCCAACATGGGCAACCATCACCCCAACAGGGGCAACCATCACCCCAATACGGAAAACCATCACCCCAACAGGGGCAACCATCACCCCAATATGGACAACCATCACCCCAACATGGGCAACCATCACCCCAACAGGGGCAACCATCACCCCAACACAGACAACCATCACCCCAACATGGACAACCATCACCCCAACAGGGGCAACCATCAGCTCCAACAGGGGCAACCATCACCCCAACATGGACAACCATCACCCCAACAGGGGCAACCATCACCCCAACATGGGCAGCCATCACCTCCAACAGGGGCAACCATCACCCCAACACGGACAACCATCACCCCAACAGGGGCAACCATCACCCCAACATGGGCAACCATCACCTCCAACAGGGGCAACCATCACCCCAACACGGACAACCATCACCCCAACATGGGCAACCATCACCCCAATATGGACAACCATCACCCCAACAGGGGCAACCATCACCCCAACAGGGGCAATCATCACCTCCAACACAGACAACCATCACCCCAACACAGACAACCATCACCCCAGTGCTCTCTGCCCCTGTTCACCCCATTCCATGGGGGGAGCTCTGTGGCACTCACCGAGGACACGTCCCTGTGCCCCCCACATGGGCCACGTCCCCGCGGCCGAGCGCCCAGCCCCGCGCCCACCCGAGGCCACGCGATGGAGCAGGGAGGACCCAGCCCCGCGGTGCCGGCTCCCCGGGCACCGTCCAGCCGCTGCCTGCGCCCGAGGGGACGGCGGCACCCAGGGACCTGCTCCCGCAGCCCCCCCCCCGCAAGGACGGGGCTCCCCGCTCCCGTCCCTACGCAAGGGCAGCGAACGGGGCTGCTCCCTGGGCACCCCCCCCCCCGAACCCCCGGTCCCCTCGGTGCATCCCGCACCCACCGCGGGCCCCCGGGACCCGGTACCTGCGCGAGCCGCCGGGGCCCGGATGCGGCGCGGTCCGGAGATGCGGAGGGACCGGAGCTCTCGTCACCCCCCGGCACTTCCTGCGCCACCGAAACTTCCTGCACCGGCCGCGGCCCCCGCCGGACGGGAGCCACTGCGGCCAACGGTGGCCAACGGTGGCACTGGTGGCACTGGTGGCACTGGTAGCACTGGTACCGCTGGTGGCACCGCGCAGCTCCCGGCCAGGCCAGGGCCGGCAGCGGGTCCAAGGCGGGGGGGGGGGGGGGGGGGGGCTTGGGGACCACCTCGGTGCAGAAGGGATGGGGACGGGCTTTGGGGAGCGATCGGAGCCGGGGGGCCGTGGGGATGGGTGTGTGCCCACCCATGGGTGCCGTCCCCCCGCTATGGAACCCACACACACACCCCAGCAGCACATCCCGGGGGGGTCCCTGGGGGGTCCCTCACACCGCAACGCACCTCACACAGGGAGGGTGCTCGCACCCAAAGGGTCCTCTCCCCTCCCCATAATCAGACCCCACTCACACCCCCCCCCCCCCCCCCCAGCTCCGCAGGGCAGGGTTTTGGGGTGCAAGGTGGGGGCAGCATTTTGGGGGGTTCCTTTTGCTGCAGCAGCAGCCTCGGTGCTGGAGGATGCTGCAGCGGGCGGGAGGGGACACACGAGGCAGGATGAGCCCCGACCTGCCCTCAGCTCATCCGGCCGCATCAGCTTCCCAACCCCGACCCCCCCCGGCTGCGGTTCGCTGCCTGCCCGCATGGGGTGTGACGAGTTCCTCGGGCCTCAGCGCTGCCAGGACCTGGGGATGGGGTGGGGGGGGATAAAGGGGGGGAAAGGAACCCCCACCCCATGCTGGGGTCTCCCAAGAGGGGATGGGGCAAAGGGGGGTGTCCCTGGGGTGACCCCCGCACACAAACAGGGACAGTGCGACACTAGAGGGCATCGCTGGGCAAGAGAAGCCACTGCTGCTTGGGTACCCTAAATGTGCTGGCAGGTACCCCAAAGGGATGCGCAGGGGGTACCCCACGTGTGCTAGGGCTTAGGGTACCCCACGGGATGTGATGGGGTCTGCGGGGGGTACCCCAGGAGCTGTGCTGGGGGGTACCCAAGGATATGTGTTGTGGCTGGGGGTAGCCCAGGGGTATGTGTTGGGATCTGGGGGTGTGGGTACCCCAGAAGTTGGACTAGGATCGGGGGAGATGTGGGTACCCCCAACGGGATGTGCTGGGGGGTACCCCAGGGACATGTGCTGGAGCTGGAGGTACCCCTGGAATAATGGCTGGGGTTTGGTGGTACCCCAGGGATATGTGATGGGGGTACCCCAGGACATGTGTTGGGGGGTACCCGAGGGGGATGTGGTGAGGTTTGGGAGGGTGCCTCCCCCCGGCCAACCCCCATGCCCGCACCCAACGGTCCCCGCACCACCACAGCAGCCCCCCCACGGCTCCCCACACCCCCTGTGTGTCACCGCCCCCCTGCACCCCCTTTACCTCCTGTGGGACGCGGCCCTGGGGGGCAGCTCCGGGGGGCCCTGCGGGGCCTGGCCCTTGGCTTCCAGCTGGTGCCGCTTGGCCGGCAGCGGCGGCAGGGGGGTTCTCAGCGGGGGCCTCGTGGTGCCGGGCGGTGGGGAGGCCCCTCTGGGTGCTGGAGGGGCGCTGGGAGGGGGCTCGGGGCTGCCCCCCTTTAGCGATGCCGAGAACTTGAGTGGGGGGCGGCAGCCGACCCTGGGCGGGATGGGCGGGGGGTGATGGGTGAGGCTGGCGCCTTGGTCCAGCTCCATCAGCGGGGAACGGGGCTCGGGATGCTCCCGGGGATGCTCCTGGGGATGCTCCCGGGGATGCTCCCGGGGATGCTCCTGGGGATGCTCCCGGGGATGCTCCCGGGGATGCTCCCGGGGATGCTCCTGGGGATGCTCCCGGGGATGCTCCTGGGGATGCTCCCGGGGATGCTCCCGGGGATGCTCCTGGGGATGCTCCTGGGGATGCTCCCGGGGATGCTCCCGGGGATGCTCCCGGGGATGCTCGGGTGCCGCCGCGGTGCTCACGCGGAAAACGTGCCTCTTCATGGGCACAGGCTTCGGGGCGGGGGCCCCGGGGGGGGTCCCTTCAGCAAAGGCTTTCTGCAGCCCCAGCAGGATGCGGCGGCGGTGGCCGGGCAGGAGCACCCCGAGCTGGGTCAGGCTCTGCTCCGTCAGCGCCCGGCAGTCCCGCACCGTGAGCAGCTCCCTCCGCTGGAAGCAGCCCGCGTACTGCTCGAGGTGCAGGGCGGCCAGCCAGGAGGCCACGGGCAGGGACCCCTCCTCTTCCATGGTGGGGGCCGGCGGCAGAGCCCCCGCGGTGCTCAGAGCATCCCCTGCGCGCGGCGAGGCTCAGGATGCATCAGGATCTAGGGATGGAGACAACAGAGGTCAGGATCGGTCCTGAGCTGAGGGAACACGGGCCCTGGGCTAACGTTACCCCCTGGGTTTGGAGGGGACCGAGGGGGATGCAGGGGTGTGGGAATGCTGGAGGATCCTGGGTGAGGTGTCTAAATGTCGGTGTCGTCCCCACTGAGGCTCAACAGACCACCACCAGCACCAGCACTATGAGGTCGCAGTGCGCTCCCCGGCCTCGGCATCCCACCATGTGCAATGGCTGGGTTGGTGTGGGGTGACCATAGACCCCCCCAAAGCCATGGGGTGTCCCAGCACATGCAATGGGCGGGCTGGTGTGGGGTGGCTGCAAACCCCCCCCAACCAGACCCCACGGCAAGAAGCAGCCAGTGGAATCCACTGGGAACCGTGGTGTCCCGGAGGATGCTCGGGTAATTAAGGGATAATCGATAGGGAACGGAGATGATGCATCAGGAGCTGCAGAGCTGCTGCAGATGGGAGGCAGCTCCTGCTCTCCCTGCTCCCAGCCTCTGCCTGAGTGAGCCAGGATGGACAGAGAGACACGGACAGATGGATGGGTGCAGGAGATGCACCTCAGAGCCTCTGCATGGCAGTGGGATGCTGAGAGGAGCCACCATGGCATTGGGATGCTGAGGGGAGGCACCGTGGCATTGGGATGCTGAGAGGAGGCACCGTGGCAATAGGATGCTGAGAGGAGGCACCGTGGCAATGGGATGCTGAGAGGAGCCACCGTGGCATTGGGATGCTGAGACGAGGCACCGTGGCATTGGGATGCTGAGGGGAGGCCCCGTGGCATTGGGATGCTGAGGGGAGGAACCGTGGCAATGGGATGCTGAGAGGAGCCACCATGGCATTGGGATGCTGAGAGGAGGCACCGTGGCAATGGGATGCTGAGAGGAGGCACCGTGGCAATGGGATGCTGAGAGGAGGCACCGTGGCATTGGGATGCTGAGGGGAGGCACCGTGGCATTGGGATGCTGAGAGGAGGCACCGTGGCATTGGGATGCTGAGAGGAGCCACCGTGGCAATGGGATGCTGAGAGGAAGCACTGTGGCAGTGGGATGCTGAGCGGAGGCACCGTGGCAGTGGGATGCTGAGCGGAGGCACCGTGGCAATGGGATGCTGAGAGGAAGCACCGTGGCAGTGGGATGCTGAGCGGAGGCACCATGGCAGTGGGATGCTGTCCCCAGCCCCATCAAACCCATGGGTCACAAAGTACCTCCCAAGCTCCAGTAGAGCAGCACAAGCTCACTCTAGTCCTCAGTGGAGCTTAAATCTCTCTTCTGGCAGGTTCAAGCCATTCCCCTTGGCCTGGCCCTCCAGGCCCTTGTCCCAAGCCCCTCTCCAGCTTTCCTGCAGCCCCTTCAGGCACTGGAGCTGCTCTCAGGTCTCCCCTTCAGGAGCCTTCTCCTCTCCAGGCTGGACCCCAGCTCCCAGCCCGGAGCTGCCCCCATCACGCCGCTGATTTTGGCTGTTTCAGAGCTGCTCCAGAGGACCCCAAGCATTTCCTGGGGCTGCCCCTGCCATCGGCCCATGCGGGTCACGCTGCCTCTGACTCAGGCACTTCCCTCACTTGCGGTTTCGGTCGCCCCAGCCAATGGCGCATCCCCTGCCCGAGATAGCGGGGCTCATCCCAGGGGATTGGCCTGAAACCCACGTGTGCCAAGGAAGGAGCCTGAGCCGAGCGGCACCAGCGCAGTCCCACGTCCCCACCGCTCCCATCAGACCCAACGAGGAGCCAGAAGTCCCTTGAAGCAGCACAGAGCCAGGGATGCAGCCGCATTCCGGCCCTTTCCGCCTCCCACCTCCAGACCCGACTCGTGCATCATCAAACCAGGGGAGTGACAGCACCGGTGACATCAGTGTCACAGGACATCCAGCGCTGTCACCCCTTGGGCCGCTGCCTACAGGAGCCATACCCTATGGATATGGAGTCCCACATGGGTCCTGTGGATATGGAGTCCCACATGGGTCCTGTGGATATGGAGTCCCACATGGGTCCTGTGGATATGGAGTCCCACATGGGTCCTATGGATATGGAGTCCCACATGGGTCCTGTGGATATGGAGTCCCACATGGGTCCTGTGGATATGGAGTCCCACATGGGTCCTGTGGGTATGGAGTCCCACATGGGTCCTGTGGATATGGAGTCCCACATGGGTCCTATGGATATGGAGTCCCACATGGGTCCTGTGGATATGGAGTCCCACATGGGTCCTATGGATATGGAGTCCCACATGGGTCCTATGGGTATGGAGTCCCACATGGGTCCTATGGGTATGGAGTCCCACATGGGTCCTATGGATATGGAGTCCCACATGGGTCCTGTGGGTATGGAGTCCCACATGGGTCCTGTGGATATGGAGTCCCACATGGGTCCTGTGGGTATGGAGTCCCACATGGGTCCTATGGGTATGGAGTCCCACATGGGTCCTGTGGGTATGGAGTCCCACATGGGTCCTATGGATATGGAGTCCCACATGGGTCCTATGGATATGGAGTCCCACATGGGTCCTGTGGATATGGAGTCCCACATGGGTCCTATGGATATGGAGTCCCACATGGGTCCTATGGATATGGAGTCCCACATGGGTCCTATGGATATGGAGTCCCACATGGGTCCTATGGATATGGAGTCCCACATGGGTCCTGTGGATATGGAGTCCCACATGGGTCCTATGGATATGGAGTCCCACATGGGTCCTGTGGATATGGAGTCCCACATGGGTCCTGTGGATATGGAGTCCCACATGGGTCCCCTCCCGGGAAGAGCCATGGAGCATCCCCATTGCCTCCAGTGATGGCAACCCCAGGGCTGTGCCAAGCTCTTCGCCCCCAGAAATGATCCAACGGGATCCTGCCGTGTTCCCAGCTCCCATCGTTTGTCATTTAACCTCTACCCGAGAGAGGAGGAAATTCCAGGAGCAAAATCCACCTGGAGAAACGCCCTATCCCAGCTGGCTGATGGGAATGGGGGAGTCACCCCAGCCCAGCCCCCCAGCCGCACCTTTCAGCTCTCAAATCCCCTTGTGCTTATCCACCACATTCCTGGATTAGGGAATGCCGCCAGGGTTGTTCTGTAAGAGCCTTAAGGGCTGTAAGAGTGGTGTGACGAGGGGCAGGGACGGCTGGATCTCAGGGGGCCAAAACACACCTTGGGGTGAAAATAGGGCTGGACCCCCCCATCCCAATGCTCATCTCAGGGTCCCCATGCTGGGTTTGGAGGATATGGGGATGGTCCCCATTGTCCCCATGGGTGGGACCGAGGGGCTGAGCTCTCACACAGGGGTGCTGTGGCTTTGCTGGGGGGATTCACATCCACCCCATCCTCTCCAATCCCACCCAGATGCCTTCAGCTCAGCTGAGCATCGCCCTGAGCTGCTGAGCACCGCCACGGCACCGGGGACGCGCTCAGCATCCCTGTGCCCATCCTTAGGCCCCCAGGCTCAGGGCAGCGCCGTCCCCAGGCACCATCCAGCCAAGCTGAGCCCTTCCCTGCTCATCCCTCCAAGGAAACCCAGCGCTGATGGAGGGAAACCAGCCCAGGAACCCACCAGGGGCTCCACAACCGCCCCATGGCTCCAATCCCCACCCTAATTCCTCCTCCAGCGCTGGCAAGCGCTGCCCACCCCCGGAATTCCCCTTTCCCAAAGCCCGGGGCTCGCTCACGGAAGAGACCCGTTGGAGAGGACCAAGGGCTCGGGGTGATGGGGACCTGTGCCCACCCAAGGACCCCGGGGCAAAGGGAGCTGCCGGAAGGCTGCAATGGGGCTGCGAGCCCGCGGCAGTGTTGTAATAACCGGTGCAAGCCGGGGGCCCGGCTCCGCACCGACCGCAGCCACGGCGGAGCAGGAGGGAGCTGGGGCCGAGCCGTGGGGCAGGGCTGAGGTGAGAGAGGAAGGAGGGGACGGGGAGGGGGTCCCCGGGACGCTGTGGGGGGGAGCGGGCACCGGGATCGGTGTCCCCAGTGCGGCGGCAGGATGCGGGAGAGGGGCTTCGGGCACGGGATGCAGGGCCAGGACAAAGGGAATGGCTTGAACCTGCCCCAGGGGAGACTGAGCTGAGCTCTTAGGGTGAAGCTCTTCCCTGGGAGGGTGCTGAGGCGCTGGCACAGGGTGCCCAGAGAAGCTGTGGCTGCCCCATCCCTGGCAGTGCTCAAGGCCAGGTTGGACACAGGGGCTTGGAGCAAGCTGCTCTATGGAAGGGGTCCCTGCCCGTGGGAGCTGGAGGAGCTTTAGGGTCCCTTCGTCCCAATCCCAGCCTGGCCCAGGAGCCCAGCACCCACCTGCCTGGCGCCGCCGCGTCCAGCACCGCTCCGCACCCTCCCGGTGAAACAGAAAACACCCAAAAGCAGAAGCGGGGCGCCGGGATGGCACCCAAACGCCTCCCACCGAAACCAGGCAGCCCCTGCGCGCCGCGGCGCACAGCACTGGCCTTGGGAGGATGAAGCTGTTTCACTTTCAAGTTCTCACAGTGAAGGCACGATGCAAATAGCATCCAACCCCCCTGCAGCACCCAGGGAGCAAGTTACATCCTGCAAAGCCGTCAGGATCCAGGCTGGGAATGCTCCTCCAGAGCCGGCTCCTGCTGCCAGGGATCCCAATCTCAAAGGGCTTCGTGTTTAAGCAGTCACGATGGTGGCCCAGGGCTGCGGGCTGCTGGGGCTGTTCTGCTGCTCCCACACCCTGCTCCAGCCGTGGGGCCATGGTGGGAATTGCCTGAGGGTGGAAGTGTGGGGTGCGCATGGAGGGAAGGCAGCGGGGGAGAGCACCGGGAGATGAGGCAGCTCCATCCCCTGTCCCGGCCATGGGCAGCTCATGGGGTGCTCCACGGAGTCATGGAATGGTTTGGGATGAAGGGACCTCAAAGCTCATCCAGTTCCAACCCCTGCCACGGGCAGGGACCCCTTCCACTGGAGCAGCTTGCTCCAAGCCCCTTCCAACCCATTACCCCTTGTCCCAAGCCCCTCTCCAGCTTTCCTGCAGCCCCTTCAGGCACT